CCAGCCTTCATTGGTAAGGGCTTCTTCCCAGCAGAGCAGAGATGCTTTGCCACACTGTCACAAACCTGAAACGTTGACAGTAAATTAAAACCCATCCCCCCAACATAACTTAGTGTGAAAAAGGGTGTTATCATTCTTACAGGAGGTGGAGAGTATGTTGGCACTTCACAGATCTCACCTTCCTTCTGAATCATCTGTTGCATATGTTTAAAAGGGAGTTGGGTGTTGATGGGTAATTCCCTGTTGGACCAGCAGCTGGGTACCTAGAATGTTGTCACAGCTGTTTCCACCCCAGCACTGATGTCAGAAGTGAGAATAAAGTGAAAGGTGTGAAGGGCTAGAGCCATGTTCTGAAATTGCAATCTGGGAATTGCCTGAGAATTATCAGGATAAATTTGTGTCACTTTCACTTATAATACAATGAACACTGTCACTATAAACTGTGTCAACCTTTCTTTTCATTTAGCTTCAGACAGTATAGATGGCTCTTAAGTCACATATTTTTATTGTAGAAGTTATAAAATTCATCCCAAGCATCTTTGGTGTTACTTTAGAAATCTAACATTTGCTGTGCTTTTTGTTCACTGTGCTCTTATTTCTGTGGTGGTGTAATCCATAGGTATAAATAAATTGCTATTGCCTATTGTGAACAAAAGCTTTACAAACAACATTAACTTCAGGGTGCAAAGGAATGTTTCTTAAGGACCAGACTGCGCCCACTGGGTCCTTAGTGAGGACACAGGTGGCTCCACGAGTTCCTCAGTGCCTAGTGGAATGTGGAATGAGGTTATAGGCTATTTGAGCAGCTCACTAAGGGTACAGACAGCACGCCTGAACTCAAAGGACTCACCTGGCTTCAGGATCGGTTAGGGAAACAGAACTTCTTGTGTTTCCTGCTGCATGTAAAGGCCACTAGGGAAGTGCTCATAAGCTTCAAGGAAGCCTTATTGTACAACCTGCAGTTTCTATACTGTTTGAAGTAGCAGGTTTGATAGAAGTGATGGTTCTTCATTCCCTGGAATATATACTTAGCAGGTGCTACGCATCATGGACTATGACAGCAAGGTAAGCAAGTTTCACTTGTCAAGTTTATTCTTCTCCCAATTCTTCCCAATTGAAGATTGCAATAGATATAATTACATATGGCTTATACACAATGATAGGAAGGAATCGGGTAAAAACAAAAGGAGAGGTGAAAAAAGGAAGACTTTCTTTCCCAAAGTATCCCTGGGAAGCTTACATGAAGTCTGTAAACATTCTCTGGATCTTGCATGTACATTTCACATAGTTTCACATTACAAGTTAGAAAGGGACTGCTTTCCTCAAAATGTAGATTTCAAAAATTCTTAAAAATATTTAGAGAGGTAATAAATAAAAATCCAAGGCAAGTCCTTGTACCATAAATACAAGGTAGGTACTTTCACATGTAGCTATTTTTGAACAGGCTTTCTTTCCTTTTGCTTAGAGTATCTGCATCCAAGGAATATTAACAGCACATTTTGACAGTTGACTGTATTCAAAAAAAGGCAGTGTTTGGAGTTTGTGGGGTTGGCAGTAGTTGAGGGGAGGTGGAGTTGGTGTTTTGTTTTGATATTTTGGGAGCTATTTTTGTGGTAGTTGTAGTGTTTAAAAAAATAAATAAATGGAGACCACCATATACTTAAATCACAACCCACCTAGTCTCCCACAAAGCAGACTTTCAGAACACGATTATCTATATAATTCCTTTATCTTCTTTGTTCAGCTTCCCCCTGGCGAAGCTGAACAAGGGGGACAAGATTCCTTGGAGATAGCTTCCTGGAATTTTTCTTTTGTAAAATAACTTGGAGAACTGGCTGTGATTTTAGCTACTTCTAGCACAGATTCTCAGCTCCTCTTTAATGGATGACATGTTTTTTTTATTCAGCCTTAACTATTTATATAAATTATCAAGTAATACCTGGACTTCGAAGATCATATTTAATATTTTAATTATATGAACTTGAATTTGAGACACTAACCGCTGAGATAAGTTTCATTAAATCATTTGTTCAGTTTTTATATTGTAGCCAAGAAATTGACCAAAACATTCAAGTTGTGCTGCCAGTGCTCAAGCTGATAGATTGCTCCCCTCAACAAACAAATTACTGAGAATATTTACCTACAATGATAGACTTAGTTAACACACACTGTCCCTACTTCAAAAATAAAAATAAAATACATTTTATTGAAAATACTTCCCCCTCTCCCAAAAAAAAAAAAAAAAAAAAAAAAAGTTCTATGCAGGGGAAAAAGAAAAAACCAAACAACACCACGGAGGGCTACAATTAGATTATAAGCAATTACTGATATATTCATCTGAGAGACAAATCATACAATGACTAAATTTATTTGAACAGATGGGGAAAGGACAACACGTTTGGTAAGAAGTAGACTGCCTTGATTTCCTTGCTAGTTCAAATGATTGCTGAAAACAAAAACACAGTAAGATGCTGAGCAAAGTTTCTATTTGCAGCTTCAGAGTAAAGCAAATGCTAGCCTTTTCAAAATCCATCAGTCTTCTAAATCATGTAGTATTGCATACTATTACCAATACACCCTCCTATCGTAATATTGTTCTTTGAATCTGAGTCATATATCTAGAAATGCAAAACAATGTAACCCTAGAAATATTTTGCATTAAAAATTTGAGGAAAATACTCACAACCTGTACAACTAAAAATCAATCCTTTGTCATAAAAAAAATTATCTTCAACCCTTGAAAAATCCCAGATTGGCTGCTCTGAAAACACTGAGCTGGTAAAAGACTACTGATTTCATACCACAGTGCCTCCCTAACTACCAGGAAGACTTCTATGATAGTTCATTCTTCCTGCTCATTCCACTTCTGGAGATGAGTCACGGTTTGGGCAGCCGCTCAGTTAGGAAATGGACTAGGCACAAAAACTCAATATGAGAACTGATGATAAAATTCAGTCACAGCTGACCTAGAGGTGTGTTCAAGCTGCTGCTGTGCACATTCAGGTATTATGACTCGGTCCTCAGTGAGCTGCAACAGCCCACCCTAAACTTAGTACCTTACATTTCAAGGTAAGGTACAAAAAGTTGTGTCAGGCAAGAACAAGACTATCAACTGCAAGTTGATATATTCCAGACTCTTCATAAAGAGCTGAAGTTTACAGCCACATGCGAGGTCCTGTGAAGGGTGGGAAAAAGCTACCTTGAAGCCCAACCATACAAACTGGCTAACATGGGCAGGAGTTCACCACGTACTTCACTGCACTAGCAGTGGTCAGTCCGCCTCGCACCAGGGCAGGCCCCGAACCTACTTCCAAGATCCCAGCCAGACCTGAAGCAAGGAATGTCATACAAAAACATTAAGTGCCACAGGTGCAGCAAGCCACTTGAACCTGCCATCCTGCTCAGCCTTCCATGCAACTGCTTTAGTCCACGGAGACTGGGTGCAGCCCGTGCGCTCAGCTTGGCCCGTGGTGGGACAGCGAAGAGCTGCGGTCCTGCACATCTCCACCGGCCCACAGGCAGCTGCAGGACAGAGAACACCAGCCTGGCAGCCTGAGGCCGCCAAGGGCTCACCAGGTCACGGCCCCCGAGCAGCGCCGCCCCGCAGGAACCCTGCCAGAACCGGGAGACCGACCCCACCGGGGAGATGGGGCTCGGCCAGACCCCGCCCTCGACTTCTCCGTAGAGTGAGAGGAGCGGAGAGGGGAGGCGCCGGGCGCCACCCCCGCACACCCCTCGGCCGGGTGACTGCCGCGCTGCCCGGGGCGAGGAGGCACACGGGCACAGCCGGAGCGCTGCGCCCGGCGCTGCCCCGGCGGCCGTCCCGGCAAGGGCCGCGGCTTCCCGGGCGGCAGGCCAGCCCCGGGGCCCCCAGCGCCGCCAAACTTTGCCGGGCGCTCCCGGCCCGGGCGCCGCCGCCGGGCAGAGCCCCCTCCCCGCTAGCGACAGCCGCACGTCCCGGCAGGGCGAGTGGGTACCTCAATGTCCACCGGGTCCCGGCTCAGCACACGAGCCATGGTGTCCGCACCGCCACCGCCTTCCCCTGGCTCCCCGCAGTCCCGGAGTGGAACAGAGCGGAGCTCGGGAGGAGGCGGAGCCGGCAGCCCGGGCAGCAACGCCCAGGTGGGCGGGCGCGCCCCGCGCCGGGCCGGGGCCGCCCCGCGGGGCAGAACCGCCCGGGGGCAGGGCACAGGTGTGCCGCGGGTCCGGCACCGCCCGCGGCAGGGACAGCGGGTACCGAGGGCAGGGAAGCTCTGTATGGGGGGCTCAGCACACACTGCCCCGCCGGGAAAGGGCCGGAGTCCATGTGCCTCTCCCCATCACGGACCACGTGCACACCCGGTCTCCTGCACATCCTGGAAGGGAAACTGCGCGGAGAGGGCCAAAGATCACCCTGGGTGTTTATCATGACAATCCCACAGGAGCAGCCTGCACGCTATGAGTGCTGCACCTGGGGCCACGGCCCCTCTCCTGCCCAAAGAGGGGTGGACCCTTCCCAGGGTTACACTTATACACTCTCCCAGCCCAACTGGCCTAGGCTGTCGCCGAACCTTCACTCTTGTCCCGACAGGGACAGCGAGCCTTCCCACCTGCTCAGAGACGCCCCTCCCAGAAGCCATCCTGCTGCGGGAAGTGCCAGGAAAGCCAACAGGCCCAGTCACTGTCTTTGTGAGCTCTTCAGTGACTTTCCTCCCAAACATTGCGACTGTTTGATACCAGAAACACAATATTTATGGTATCACTGAAATAAATATTCCCACTGCAACAAACGTACAAAGAAGTTCTACCTTCCCTGCTACCTTAAAAAAAACAAAACCAGCAAAAGCAAGTGTTCTCCATGGGCTGGGGGGGGGGGGGGGGGGGGGGGGACGACGACAAAACAACCTAACTCAAACCACCACAACAAAAAAATAGCGAACAAACCGAAAAGCACCAAACAAGCCAAACACTGTAACATCAGTTTCTAGACAGCACTTTCAAGTAGCCACACCTATGATTCTCCAAAATACAACAGTTTTTATCACCATTTCACAAGAACAGAGAAGTTTAAGACTAATCTTTAATTTTCCAATATGTGTGCCAGACAACTTCTTGGGTTCTTTCTCCCTTTCTCAAAACATACCCCAGATCTGCTCTTCAACATTCTCTTTATAGCACTCATTTTATCCAGTTAGCTTTCATTCTCCCTTCTTTATTACAGCATTAAAAAAAAAATAATAGAAGATTAAAAAAGGGCTGCCTACTCCTATTTGCTTTACAAAAAGCCTGGAAAAAGTGTATGTAGCTTCTGGACTGATGACCCTTTGGGTGCAGGAGGGAATTGGCTTGCCTTTTCCTTTCACATCTCTGGAGAGAAAACCTCTCACAGAATAGCATGAAGAAATAATTACAAGGTAAAGAAAAATGGTTTCTTTCCATCTCTGTAAATGAGAACTTTTGAGAGGCCCAGTGGAGATTTTTTTTTTCTTTCATAAGATGTGGAGAAATAAGGCTGTGATCTTTTGTGTCTCAAGTGAGATCTGTGTTTTCTCAAGTCTTTGCTCCAGCACTATTGCATAACAATTCTTGCTGATTACAATCACCCATGGAAAACAGTTAAACTGTTGGCAGGAAAATCAGAAGCAGGATCTCCTGCACTGCGAGTACTTATCTCTAACAAATCCAAGAGTCTTTGGTTCATTTCACTAATATTGACATTGCAGAGCAGCTCAGTGGTCTCTGATGCTAGCTGGGGAGTTTCCTAGTTGCATTTGTTCCTGACCTACAGTAGTATATTAACTGTGCAAGTGCATTAAGTGTAAGTCATTTTCACAAAGATTATTTCCATGCATATGTAATGATAAACTGCTTTGTGTCCAAGCACTTACAGTTTTCCTCCATTTGTTCTAAGGGAGCATTTACATTAGAAGAGACTAGCAGCAGACACTGAGCTCTGCATTACGCCCATCTTCTCTCTTGTTCTGCAAGTTACAAATCATTGGTTACCCTCATGTAATCTAGCAAGTCAAATGAACCTGACACCTGTAGGATTTTTGACCTGTGAAACTAGAAAACAGTAACACCATTTAGATTTCATAGAAGCAGTTTTCCTTACAAATGAAGCAAGACCTATTCTGCCAAGAAGTACAGGTCAGAGAAAGGGATTTAGAGACCTAACAATACCCTGCTATAACTCATGGCTCCTCTTACTTCTGTTCCTACACATTTCTCTTGAGGATCAACTTACTGCCTTTAAACCACAGCGGTCAGCCAGGCTATGCCACCTGCTGCTGTTTGCCAGCTTTCCCCAGCAGTTCAGGAGGGCTGGTCTTCCATGGATCACCCATCTGAACTCTGGATTCTCAGCTGTGGCAAATAGTGCTTTTATCAGCACTGAGCATGTTTACAGCTGAACTTTGTTTCAGAAAATAAATGGACAGACAGATAAAGACATGCACAACATTCATCAGAATACAAGTACCTCCTCTTTTATAAAGTAAGAGTTATAAAAAAATTCAGTAAGACAAGTTTTACACAGCCCAGATATGGTTTGGGCTTTTTTCATAAAGAAGTGCTAAGCCTCTGATTTTAAAGTTTTTTCTCCCCCGGCAGGATTTTGAAAGCAGCAGAAACAGAGTGATGCTAAAGACCTAACTTTCACTTCTGACATGAAATGCAGTTAAGGCTTGGTTGAGTTATAGACTTTTGAAAGTTGCCATTAACCTTTTGTTCTTTGTGCTGTTCAGGTAAAATCTGCTCACATGCCAAAGAAATAATTGCACGTGAACTTTCTCAGAAAAGCTTCAGGTGTTCACTGCTACCAGAGCAGCAACAGCCTTGTGCTGGAAATGGCTGCCCACTGGGAGGGCAAAGGAGGACGGGGCAGCAGGCAGTGAGAAAAGACATGTCCTTCAATTTCAAATGGTTTGAGGAACACAGCCTGCAATCTAACACAAAAGATTCCTCCTCCAGCCATTGCAGTAGTTAGTCTTTGAATTTAAAGGGTAAACTGTAGACTCAGAAAGTTCAACATTCAAATTCTGGCAGTGATGTATTAGGGAGCCTAGAGGTCTCAGTGTACTGACATATAGTACGAGCAGCTCCCCACTTTTTCATCAAAACTGCCCCTGATTCACATCATTCAAATACTAGAAACACAGACATCCCAGACCTTAATTTATTGTGTAGTTGTACCTTGAACCTCTTTAATCCCACGCTTTTTTTATTCCAGGACCAGGTTCCTCATTCGTTGCATTTGATGAAGAGTGATGATTACAGTCACACAGCATCTCCCAGCATCTGAATTAGCAGCCCAGATTACTCTTTACACGTAAGCAAGTTCATCTGTCAAATTCATAGGATTTGGAAAAGCCTGAATTGCACCCAAGTTGCTCTTTTACCTTCTTCGAGCACCTCACTATGACAGTGAAGAGATATGCATTTCAGTTACATGCTGCTTGTGCCCTCTCTGGCTCAGCCAAGTTCAACAATGTAAAGGTGATATATCAAGTATGCAGAAGGTCCAAGAGAAATGGGATTAGCAAGAAAATGCCATGAAGATGACAAGCAGCTTCTGAAGGCTCCCAACAACTTCATTTTGATTTCTTCCCTTATGCTTGGAGTCATAGTAGCAGTGGTGGTGACTTTCCCAGGACAAGGCAAATCACTATTAAAGCTGAAAGAAGTAGTGCTGGGTTCATCAACTCTGAGGACACTTGTTTTGCATGTCTTCACTGTACTGGTGTTAGGGAGGAAACAAGCGTATACACGTGAAAAAGTTGAAGGCGAGAGGCTTTACGGTACTGTTTCTGAAAGGTCCATAAGTAAAGAGCCATAGAGTAACTATGCCAATCCTTTGTCCTCACTCATCTTAATCCAATACAGAAGGACTGGAATTCAAGATTTAATTTGGGGAAGCTTGCTCTGACTACCTCTCCCAAAGTAGCGGCATTGATGTTGCAGTATATAATTACAACTTTGTGCATTTCTTCAGCAATTTAGGGAAAATGTTTAACTTAAAACATTCACAGTAGTGAAGACATACACTGCCTTTCTAATCTGCTTGTTTGCAATTGGATTTACTCTCAGTGCTTTTCAGAGAGAATAGCTACACAGGATAACCCAGGGTATGCCACAGTGCAGTGGTACCAATGCTCTTTAGGTATGAGAGACAATTATTAATTCTATTAGAAGCTCTGACCATTTTCAGATGTAGCCTGTGGGCATGGAATTGTAAAGAACAAATAGATGAATAAGTAACATAAAATGGCCACCATGTGAGCTTTGATAAGCGCCCAAATGCATTTAAAACTAAAAATGAGCTGTTCTTTAGTGAGTCCACTAATTTATTCCAGCCATCTGTATCAGTGTAAACAAAAGCTTGTCTCCTAAAGTGCTTAATAATTTTTAAGATCTAGCAAGGACCACAAGTTTCAACATGATCATCTTGGGGGAAAAAATTAAGCAAAACGAACCCACATATTTTCACACCACAAACATCTTTTGATAACTACTATCATGTAATTCAAAGAAATATTAGAAAGTAAAACTTGTTCCTGGCATAGCATAATGTTTTCCTATTTAAATTCCACCAAATGTTTCATTAGGATATTTTAGGGGATGGAAAAATCTGGCTATTTCCCCCCCTCCAGTCTCCAGTGATGACATCTGTAGACAAACCCTATATTTATTACCAAGCTTGAGAACTGCTAAATTGATGTCCTAGGTTTCCACTGCTCTGAGAATCTTTTCTCTGCATGTGCCTCAATTTATTTTCAGGCTCTTAATGTGCTTCTCATGTTACTGGACCTTAGCTAAGTGAATAGTCAAGAAGTCTAAGTGTTTGTAAGCTAAGAAGTGTACACATTTGGCTTGAGTGGATACAAGCAATTAGTGATCTCAGATTAAGATGGGATTTTGGAGCACTGAACATGAGGGAGACAAGGCTGAAAGTACTTTGTAGGAAGAGTATGTTGGACTCAATTTTAGAGATACTGAGCAGCCACTCAGTTACATCAGATCAATTATCCTTTCTGGACAAAAACCAAAATCCACTATAAGATCAGAAAATTTGAAATTCCTTAGTTGCTTCTGAGACATCTCGTAGTTGTGGTAGAAGGGGTGTCACATTCAACCTTTCAGTCCTGGGCATTAGAAGCAAAGGGTGCTGCTTTCCAGACATATACACCTCTGGGGTGAGAAGAGTGAAAAATAAGTTCTATTTTGAAGGGCCAGGTCCAGTACACTGCATTATTTGCATCTTCTACATTCCCCCAGGAGCAAGTTTCTGACACGGGTGAGGTCTGCCCTTTGAGTGAGACCTGGTTTGGAACCATTTCACTGTGCAGCAGGGAAGTAGGACAAAATGATACCGAGCTCACCTGAGTCCTGTAGGTGTCAACTGGCTGGTGTCTGTGCAAACTGACCTACCAGTCCTCCCTCCCCTGGGCAGAGAAGGCTTCCAATTCTCCAAGTCAGACTGCTAAACTATTAGGGAATGGATGTACTACATACCTAACTTCTGGCAACAGCAAGTGTTTCTCCATTCAGGTAAATGTTAGAGATGGGGAGTTACTCCTTAACTTATGACCATGCAAAATTAACTACTTCTGTGCTTGCAGTTTCAAAGGGAAGCATGCAGTGAGATCAGAGGAAGATCAGCCTCCAAAATAGACAGACACCACCAATATACTCGCTGAACTATTGGCATGAATTTACCCCTCCAACCACAGCATCAGCAAGAAATTTATTTATTTTCAGGGATTCTGTAGTTTTGTTGCTTTCCAGAGATACTGACAAGGTACAAAACAGCCTCTTGAATTATTTACAAAATAATACTAGTTTGTAACTATTCATCTCTATAGTTGCAGTATAACTCGTTTCAACTTTGATAGCTTTTCAAATGCATCATAAAACAAACATTTGACAAACAAAATGGCTACTGTCTGCTTTTCAAAATTACTATTTTGAAAAGAAAAAGTGCCACCAGGTTAACATCCCTGAAACAAAGTGTTTTGGTTGTTCTAAATTTAATAGCTCAAAAAGGAACAAACAGGTTTGTGTTTTTCCAAGAGAAATATAGTAACTGATGTCCTTATAAGTAATTGCAATTAGTCCTTTGTTTCTGCAATACATCCCTTCCTCTCATGGCTGAAATCCCAGCCCTGCTTGGTAATACCTAATGACCAACAGCAGCAGTTCTAGGCTAGGTTAGTACCTTTTTAATACCTCCAACTATGCCCCGTGACCAAACAGAAAAAAAATAATCTGACAGTCATTGCAGAATCTATTATTAAAGTACTAATGAGAACACTACAAAAGAAAAACCATAGCAACTGATAGGAACCATGTGCTAGTCTCATCATAAGTCTGCTTGGTAGGCAGGTTTGCCAGAGAAATATTAGTATTAACAGAAAAGGCAAAACAAGAATAAAGAGTTAACTTGTCTGATTTTGTAATGTGGGCACTTTTCTTCTCCCTAGCATACATATACTGCATGACATTCCCAGAGGACTGTCTACATGCTTGGAGATGACAATTTATAAGTTACATTAATTGATTAGCTGTGTAATGGCACATATTAGCTTTATATTCATAGAAATCTTCCAATTTAGTTATTATAGTACAAAAAACTAACATTTTCTTTTTCCATGTTAACTTAAATACATTTTGGATTGCCATTAAAACAGCAAAGCTTTCCTCCCTCCACCAGTGCTCTATATAAACACCAACAGGACTCTGAACATTTTTACCCCTACCTTCACATGCCTGCAAGTTGCTTCCTACAGCGAGTTACATTACATGCAAATTATTCTTTTACACTGTCCTGTAACTTCAGCAATTGTGGCCATGTACACCGTGAAATGTATTGATCCTATTGCAAGATTTAAACCCAGTTAAAAGGCCATGTTGAAAATCCTTTTCTAATAAAGGCTACTGTCTTATCCAGATCTTTACAGTCTTCAGTGCAACAAACCCCAACTATAGCTTGAATTTTATAATAGCATTCAACAACCATCAGCACTAACAAACACAGGTAATTAACTTCAATGCTTTGTTTAAGCCAAGCAATGAAATATTGCTGTTCTATAGTTCTTTCTATTGCATAAAAATTACTGTGAAGTAACATAGTGCTTGGACTGGAAATTAAGTAGAAGCAAGTAGCGAAAAAAGAACAAAAACTTAACCAAGTATGCCATGGGGCAGTTCAAGACAATCTCTTCCCTAGCTTGCTATAGAGATGACTTTTACCTATAGAGATGACTTTTACCCAGGACCTATACTCTGCATAGAAGGAAGCAAATTTCTACTTACAACCTCAGATGTAGCTGTGGCACCCAACTGCTGGTATGAGATGATGGATAAAGAATATCCACAGTCTCAGTTGTTGACTGGAAAACTGATGTTCAGATAATATATGTGACTTGTGGTACATCCCTATGTCCTTGCTAAACTGCTAGGCTGATGACAAGCTAGTCATCTGTCTTGGACTGTTTTGAGCAAATTCCTGAAACTCTTGCTGAACTGGTGAAATAGGCTAACTTGACAATTGGCAACGGTTATTGCCTTCTTGGCAAGGTCAAAATGAATTGAAGAAATTAATTCCTACCCAAGGTCCCTGCAAAATGTGGGTAAGACGTTAATTCACTGCCATCCTAGCCTAAGGTAGTAATTGTCAATAGGACAAACAGTCTACATCATCATTTTCTCTCTAATTTAATCAAGGTCATATTAGATCACTACATCAAATCAAGCAGAGTCAATTTGATTAAAAAAAAATCTGAGCTAAACCAGATTCCTTCTGGAAATTAACCCTTCATAACATTATCCACCAATGCAGAGCATCTTATTTCCACTGAAAATGACTACTGCTATGACACACACCATGCTTAAAAAAAAAAAAAAATGCTCTCCCACCAAATAAAACAAGACTACATTGTCTAATCTCATGCCTAAGTTTGTGTTTTGGCATTTTTTTACTATGTATTGCATATGCGTCTCACACAAGAAAACAACAACTTTCACTGAAACTGAAATGTATGTCTGACAAAAATAATGTACTCTATTATGCTGGGTGCCATTTATCTCATAAAAGTTTAGATCCTAACAAAATACAAAAAAAAGCCAAACCATGATGCTGTGGAACTGCCCACATCTTACACAAATGAGTAAAAGGTTTGGTGTTTTTTTGCTGTTGGTTTTTTGGTTGGGTTTTTTTGTTTGGTTGTTTTTTTTCTTTTGGTTGATTGGTTTTGTTGGGGTTTTGTTTGTGTTTAAGATTACATCCAGTAGAGCTCCTTCCCCAGATTTGGACCAATTATCACTTTAACTGCAGTACGTACATATCCAAGATTTTAGTGTAACTGCATAATAATCTATTGCTATGGCAACTTTTGGCTATGCTACATTCCACCTTCATGCAGACTGCCTACAGTGGACTACAGCCACAACAGCCAGCTAGGAAAGTGTGATCTCCACCTGGCTGGGCCTCATGAAGGGAGAGAGGGTCGCAGGTATAGTCCTTTTAGCCCACACAGCAAATTCCTGCTTCAAGCATTCCAAAAACTTGAAGGACCCTTCCCACATGCCTCATAACACCTACATCAATAGCTTCTATAGCCAAAACAATTTTTTTTAACTTGTCAAATACTGACAATGAGATCACATACATATGCATACTTGTAATTTCACACTTATTGCAGAGAGAACCTATATCACTGTCACTGGATGTTTGTTATAAGCCTGAAAGGAGCAGAATATCACAGGATTTAAAAGGTCTTTTTATTTTTTATTCTTTTTCTCAGCTACAGAAGAAATTAATCATAATACTATAAACAAAGGTATTGTAAATACCAGAGTCAATGGGGCTATGACAATCAAGACTGACTAAGGAGCTCCCACACACACAGAGCCAGACCTGCAGTTAAACCACGTTGTAACAGACTGGCTGGCCCATCTGTTTGTTACGTTTGTTTGCTACTCTGGGTTTGAGTTATATGCTTTGCAAGTACATACCAGGCATTTAAAGCTAAGCTTCCCCACCCCCCATTAAAGCCATGGTAACACAATTTTCCTTTGATCTGATTTTGCACTGCTCAAGTAATGTGACACTGAGCAAGTAACACTCACTACAGGTATAGTTGTGATCTTGTGAGGGACAAGCATTGGTATCAGCAGGATGAACTTGAAAGGATGCAGACTGTGGCAGAGAGAGACATACCTGGCTTTGTTTCTTCCAATAAGACTTTTTTTAAGTCTGTTCCTCCATCTCATACTACTTGCACAGAATAGAATGAAGAGAGGTAGACTAGAAACGTTTATGACTAAGTGTAACCTCCAAGTGTTCTGGAATAGGAAGAATATACTTGGGATAACAAGTGCTGTAAATTCTGTTCAGATCTGTGAATTTTGTTAAACTGTATTGTAGGGTTTATTTTTTCTTTTAAAGCAGTCAGCAAAACAAAAAATGCATAGAATCCCTTTGATCAAAACATTCCCTTTTGTTGGAGGAAAACACAGTATGCCATTTAAAATTGCTACAACTTATTTTTTAATACACAATTTAGGACTCTGTCCATGGATTGTGATTTTTAATTTCAAAATCAGTTATGTTATTTTTGTTATCTATCATGTATAAGATGTTATATTTTGCTACCAAGATATAGTAATGAACCACTAGTTCAAGATTTGAAAATCTTTATACCAATGAATTTATAATTTCCTTCTGCCCCTGATTGAAGGGATTTTTTTTTCTCCAAAGCATATCTAGTACTGCAGAAAGTCTGTCTAGGTGTTTGATGATAATTAGCTAGAAAATTAGCCTGCTAGAAATATTATTCATCAAAATGCCATTGACTCCTAGGAAGATTGCAAACCTCTGTTGTAAAGTGTCTCAGAGGCAGGCTACTTGGTTGCATCAGGTTTAAACTACATGAAGTATTGATTAAAGTCTTCCTCAATTAACTACTGCCAACTTGAAAGGCAAACCAGACCGTTCATGTGCCAGTTATTTTAAGGGAACATTTAGGTCCAGATTCTCAACTGTGTTAAGGCTCAGTTGTACTACTCCACAGCAGCTTGCAGATGGCTAGCTAAGCTAATGGTTGCTTTTCTACCATACCAATACAAAGAGCAAAGAAAAGTACTCAAAATATGAGTCTATTTAAGCCAAGTTTTAGTATGTAACACCTTGATTCCTTCTGAAATAAATGGCCATCTGAAGTTGCTACAATACAGATACCACTCTGTTATCAATATACACACGATAGTAGAGTTTGGGGTTTTTTTAGTCATAACTTTTTTGAAGTGCCACAAGCATACACCCAGGGCTGCACGTGCTTCTTTGGTATAAGCTTTTGCCTTAAATACACTTTTCCTCTTGTTTTGTTATCCCCTTCCCTTCTCTCCGTTCTACCACCTGTTTTTCATCCTCTTTTCTCCCTTGCCCATATTCCATGTGGAACTTTTGCTTTTAACTCTGTCAAAGCATCAGGAGTCTTTTTTTACTTATTCCTCTGTGAACAGTTTATTTTTGAGTATAAAGTCAATCTAGTTTTGTTAATTTTCAAGCAGATTATGACTGCTTTTGCAGCATTTATATTAGTAAATAATGGGTCTGCAGGACACAAAACAGCCTTTTAAACCAAAGTAAATTTTAAGATGTTAAGGAGAACTGTCACCTTCTCTCTGATTGATCCTGAGTCTTAAGGAATGGACTACATCTGCTATAAGTTAGAATTATCATCCCGTTTGGAGAAAACCAAAGGACTGGAAAATATATTAAAAAAAAAAGAAAAAAACCAAAAAGCTCACAAACAAACATCCTTCTGATAAAGATGCTTTGAATGTAATGAAATCAATCAAACAGCGATGCAAGGTGCATACTTGTCCTTTCCACCCACTTTATCTCAGGTGGTTTCACAGTTTCCAGGTAAACATGGAAAAAACAAAGTATGCTACTAGTGGGAAATTTTTTCTTTCCCCACTTCTTTGGATGAGCACTGAGAAGTATTTCTTCCATATTAAGTTACTCTAGTCTACGTTACATTTCTCCCCACATTAGCTTGAGTACTACATCAGGGCATGAAGTTAACATAGTGCAACACACAATGAACTTCTTTTGCTCCGTAGGGAACTACAATGATATGTGCTATGCTGTTGCTAAAAGCATATGAAATTGAGCATCTGTAGGACATTCTTCCTTGTGATTAGCATGCCTTGGCATGTTTCTTATTATTACATATTCAAAAAAGAGTGAACTAGTCTTTTCTTAAGTAAAAGAGGATAATGAGGAAAGCTAAAGTGATTAGGACATTAAGCATCTAACAGTTCAGCAGTTGAAAGTCTGCTTGTCTCTGACAAAACCAGTCCAAATTAATTAAAATTCATAATTTGACCCAACATTAGAAGCAGAACCAAAAAAATAAATCCAAAAGGCAGACTCATCTAAGGGATTTTCAGATACAAATAATAATCTTAATTAGTTAAAAAAGAGAAAAACTGTGACAAGAGGATTAGGCATAGGAGGATAATGTTTGCTACAAAAGCAGAGCAGGTAACTTTTTTTCTAGTTCCTCAAAAGATATAACACTGTAAAGACTAGTGAAGTGAGAGGGGGAACTTTTTTTTCCTGTGACCTCTATGTTACACGCACCATAGAAAAACCATTACTATGCTCTAATCAAAGGTATCAGGAGAGCTGAAAAAAGTGAAATCCCGAACTCTTCAAATCAGTTGCAAAACATACCTCTGGAATTAAGGTCTCTATACCAGTAAGATTTCAGCAGAAACTAGACTTGATTGAAGAGACCCCTATCTTCATGTTGGAAAAAGCCTTTTATCCAACAAGGGTCTGTTCCTGCTCACCTTGAGCTCTATAAGCCTTTCACTCCTGCTAGGCACTAATTGATTTCATTGAGGGCAGATGATTTCAATTAGCAATTTGAGCTCCAATTCGTGACTATATATGGAAATGCCTCTCAGAGGCAGTAACTGGTACTTCAGATCTGCTCTAACATCCTCTACTGGGGCACAGTAGATGACATGTCAGAAAAGGGAGCTTCAGAGTTTTTTGTTTTTGTTTTTTTTTTATATATAATTTGAGAGTTATACAGGAGGACTGTGCTTTCCCCTTACAGTCTGTCCTTTGATCAAAGGGACTTTGGTTCAGACGCTTGCAGGCAATGCAGAGCTTGCATGCAATGTGTGTCCAATACAGCAGCGGCATAATCCTTATTTGTCACCTCTAAAGCAAGTGTAGGCAGCATTAGGATAGATACGTGTGATTGTATGAGCCAGGTGAACACTAAACAGCTGGATTTTATGTGTTATTCCCAAACTTTGCCCCGCAGAACCCAGTGGGATAATGTGAATCGCAGTGTTCCTCTATGGTTGTACAGAGAGGTAGCACCTACTGACATTTCCTGTGTCTTCTTATGATTTTTGTACTCGTCATTCTTTGAATTACATGACATGATGGGACCCATCATAATCTACTTCCCCTTTTGTGTCCATGTTTCAACCCTATAAACAACATCTGAGAGTTTCTATGTGCTATCTTCATAATATTATAAATAAAACATAAGCGTGAAACATTTTTAAGAACAATAAGAAGACTATTTTATTTCATAGAATCATAGCATCAATTATTTTACCAATTACTTCTTGTAATCTCATAGATTTGGCTATAATTGCACTTGTTTAACCTGTACATTATGATACCATAAACATCCATGTCTTTATTCTAGCTATTCTCATTGTGTAATAAAAACAACTGGGCAGGCAGTCTTTATAAATGCTGTTCTTAGGGAGGAGTTTCATGTGGTATTCCATATGCCATTGTCTTCAAGTCCATGGGATTTCAGAACTACACTGCCTTGCCTTTCTTCTGCCTGTCCTCCAAGGGATTGGCTTGTGGTGGGCAATTGAGAAGGTATCAATAAGTAATTCTGAATGCCGCTTTGTGCCAGGACTTTTCCTATATTTTATTTTTTCATTTAAAGAATATTACAGATATGCTATTAAGGAACAACACTGTTCATCTGGTATTTTTGGCATAAACAGAAAATGTGAATTAAGGCTTTCTAGTAAATACTATGAAATTAATTTCTTGAGCAAAATAATGTGCTATCTTTGGGTTATTTTCCTGTGAAAGTAGAGACTAAAATTTTGATTACACATGGATAGTATCTTTTCCAATATATTTCTATCAGTGCACTGATTTGGCAACCATTTAGACCCAAAGGTCAGGGCCATTCATAAGTCTCATTGATTTCAAAGTTGAATGTCTGCCCAAGATTAAACACAAAGAGGAATGCTTTCCTAAATCGATTTATTTAAGTCTGTATGTAAGTTGAATAAGGGCCTAAAGTCAGCAACAAATCAGAAAAGAGAATGAGTTTGTGCCAAATATGTTTATGAATACCAAAACATACGAGACAAGGAACACAATTCTTACTTGGATTTGAACCAAGACCCCTAAACGTATAAGCTAACCTTATCTTTAACTTTCATTTCTTTTGAAGCTCTTAGCTTAAATCTAAATGGTGAGACGGGTTACATTTACCTGTACACACGGGTGGCCCTTCCTTGTCTTCTGCTCTGCATCTGGATTTATTTCCCAGAGAAGTAGTGATACTTCCCAGTATCAGCAGGAGGGATAGTGCCTGCTTGCATTTATCTTGCTAGGATGGTACAGAAGATATACCTAAACTCCAGAACTGGAAAGGGCTCTAGACCCACAAGCTCAGGGTTGAAATCTTTTGTTTTCTTCGATGTCTTCAAACAGAAGTTTATTTTGAGTTTCTAAAGTAGAGAAAGTAGAAAGCAAGTAGAAAGCCATCCTAACAAACACAGGAGAATATGAATCTGGCAGAGCACAATGTAGATCAAAATGGTTTTAATCATTACTCCCTGTTTTAATTACTACTTGACACATTATCTCTATTGTCCTTCTACAAGTCTGTCTTTTGAATGAAATATTGAAGGCGAGTTACAGCTGAAAATATATGCAGTCTAGAAAGAAAATGGCTTTGAACTATTTGAAATGATTTATTGTCCACATTTCTTTATGAATATTTATTTGCTGTAGTGAAAGCAATTCAATAAAGAGAAAACATGAGGACCAGTTAACTGAACATTTGCATACTCTAACGGTTAAAAAAAGGAAAAGAAAAATAATAGGGTGCATTAGAATGGTGTTAATGTTTTGGTTCTCCTGTTTCCCGGAGTTAATTCATTAATATGCGAGATTCAGGTCCTGAAGAGGAGATGTATAAATAGCCTACAAATAAGTGTCTCTAACCTTTAGATATTCCCATCCAGAAGGAAATAAATATGTTTGTAGGCGATTTTCAAGGCCAGGGTGGAGTTTTGTTTCTGTACTTCTTCAGGTAGCTGGCTATGAAAGCCTGCTTTTTGCAACAATCATATGTAATCTAAGTCCTCATCTTGTCAGGACCAGAGATCACTCATTCCCTTATACTCCTCAGAAGAGCAGCAGGTGTACCTGGCTATCAAAAGGAGTCATGAGCACACTGATTATTTTGCCTTGTAAAACCTTTAGTATTTAAAGATGGCTACATGCACCAAAACCAAGACCACACACATAGCAGTGATGCTGCTTTCCTTCCACCCTCAGTGGAGGAACAGTTTTTCATGGTATGTGCCCTCATTTACCCCTGCTTGAATTAATTTCATCGACCGAAAAGCACTATGCGTTAGACTTGGAATGAACTTTGTTTCTCAGAGCTTCTTAGTGATATTCTGATACCCAGTCACAGATGGGGCCTTGACAGATTTTGTACGGATTTTCATGATTCCTTTTTTCTTCTTCTTTTTTTTTTTTAAAGCAAGATTGTCACTGCTTGAGAATTCAAATGCAAATGGAGATGTTCACTGGCACTGTTTCACAAGGAAGCTCAGTTGGCTGGTTTTTAGACCTTATAAAGTGAATAGTGTCACACACAGTATTTGGAAAAGGATAATCTTAATATATAATAGTTCTAGAGAAGGGTGGTTACAGTAGTAAAACAAAGACTTTGGACAAAGACATAAATTCTCTATGCATCAATGTTCATTTCTTGGAGCAAGACTGATAATATTTATTTGTAGTAACAATTATCATTATTATCTACCTGAAAGATAGCTGTGAGGCTAATTCATTAATATTTTGAAATTACTTCACAATCCTCAACTAGAATTTGCCCTGAGAGTACTAAATATAATAATTTGCTCTGTATGCTTATTTCATTTTGCTTTGGAGAAAAACACAGTTAATGCGTTTCTCTCTTTACATTTGTCTGCATAACACATACTAAAATTCCGGATGCTGAGCTTCTGTAAAAGTTAACAGGCAAACTTGACATTACTGTATTTTTTCTTATTTCTTCCTCTTTTGTCATAGCATTTTACACCCACATAGATATTACAATATCATTGTCATCTGGGAGCTTGTTGCTGCTGGTACAAATATATAAGTTGAGATCCACACTTGCTGTTTATCTCCTTGCCTGAATTTGGAGTTGACAGTGCAACCACACATTGCTTGTCTGAAGTCAGAGCTCTCTTGTGTGTAATCAGGGAGTTTCTTTAAGTTACACATAGTTAGATGCTACACCATATTAAATGCTTGATTATATTTGTATGTATGTCAAATGTTTTCTTCATCTGGCAGTTTACCAAGTCCTCCCTTTATTGGCAAATGTGTATCAGTTATTCACAATTGAAGATACCCAGACCCATTTCCTCTGGTTGTTATCTGTTGGATAGCTAGACTCTAATGGCTAAAATCTATGTCTACCAACATAAAAGCCACAGGATATGACACTGGTATCTTGTGGTTCCAATCAGCCTCCTGGTATTATAGTATTACTTTTATTTAACTGTGTTTCTACTGAGTTCAGCGTGCTCCAGCGATGCTGGCTGTTTTACATAGCATCTGCATTGTATATTGTGATAATTGAAAACTCAATACAGCCCAGAGGCAGCAGCACAATGGGATGGGAATGGGCTGGGGCATAAGTCAGAAGAATAAGGCATGCAGGCAGCAGCAAGCAGGGCAAAGCCAGCCCCAACACATCTCCACCAGCAGTCGAGCTGGGTCAGGCATCCGGCAGCTGGGGGTCCCATGGCGTGCGGCAGCTCTGGGAGCAGCAAATGCCCAGTGCAGTGCCTGGGGGAAGCAGAGCTCCGGGTGTCCCTCCATCTGCTGTCATAGGCTGACATCTGGGAGCACAGATCGTAGGCAGAGTCCAAGGCTCACCTGGAAAATTACATGAACAGATCAAAACCAGATTCAACACACTTCACTGACAGCTCCTGTCCTGTGCACATGTCCAGTCCTTTGCAGGGTGGTTCCTGTTCCTAAAATGTCATCTAAGCATTAGCAGAGAACAGGCCAGATACTTTTCTAGTGTTTCAGAAAGGTAACATATATCAATAAATGTCACTTGCTATGTGAATGCTCATAATTAGAACTAAAAAAAATTACTTAAATTAAATGACTGGAGTAGGGCACAGCCTTTCTTCCTATTAGCCTATGTAGAAAGAAAAAATGCCTGGAGTGTAAAAGGAGACAAGAAGAAATAATGAAAAAACAAGTTGTGGCATGAAGGATAGAAATATTTCTTGCCCGTCCTCTTGGCTCTGTCTGTGAAGATTTTGTCAAAAAACCTCAGCCAAAACTATTCAGCAAGTGATTTTTGGGCCTGGCTGATGGAGGGTCTAGTTGTCTCAGGGGGCAGCCTTGCAGGCAGGAGGTTTCCCAAGAAGCAGACTAGTAGGTCTCTGCAGTGGGAGTCACAAGCTTTTCATGTGAGCAGCACACCTGAGCTGATGGGATGGTTTGACAGGGTTAGGTGTGGCCCTACCTTGTAGCAGCACCCCCAGAAGTTGCTGTTGTTAGATTGTCCCCACAGACTGAAGATCTACAGCTTTCCATGGGTGATTTGGCATGGTGAAGAAGGAAGGAAGATGGGCTAGTCCACGAAACTTAGGCTGTACAGCTGTAACATTGAGATAGGTTGAAACATTCCACCCAATGGGACTCTCCTTTAAAAGTATGTTTGCATAACAGATTAAACCACACAGTATATTTTTATAAAACTACCCAGTATGTCTTTATAAACAGATTTAAAACCACCCATAGAAGCAGGTCACACCAGTTCCAGCCCTCCCTGTAGCTCTGACCTTGCTCTCCACTCTACCCAAATTCGGCAGCTGCAGTAGTTCAGCTCCCTGGCATCCTGCCCAAAGCCAGGGACAGCCCCTGCCAAGACTCCACAAGACACCATGCCACAGGGCTTCATCCCACCCCAGGCTCTCTACCACCTCATATCCTCAAGCTCTGCTCCCTAAATGCCAGTGCCTCTGAGGCACAGGTCCAGTGGGTAGGAGTGGGAATCTGGGCATTTGTTTATGTTTTTATTTCCAAACTTTCTGCTAGAAGTGCACCCTTTTAGGGCTCTGTTTACGTTCTTTGCATTAGGGGTGTAATAATGTAGATTTCCTGTTCATGGCATCCTGTTAATTAATCATTATTTCCAAAGTTCTATTAAATTCTCAGACAGTGGCATCTTTTACTTTCCTTTGACTCTTCTCTTACCTTTTTCTTCTTCTCTTTAGTATAAGGAGTCATCAGTGGTGAACCGATTATAGGAAACTAATTTACATCATCAGTTCAGTAGTAGGACATACTTGTTAAATCATCTAAGATAAATACTTTTAATTAAGCAAATGTCCTACTCAATTCACTGTGGACAATCCCATAATGATGGATATTACTTCTGCGTGCTAAATCTTAGTCTTCATCAATACTGAATGCACAACACAAAGCCATTATAAAAAATGTAGGCTTACTGTAATATTGCCATTTTAAAGCTGCCAGCTTTTATATTCATTATTATGATGACAACAAACCCCTGGCTAACAAATCTTACTACAAATCAGAATTTTTATCCAATATATATATGATACCAAATCTGTGCTAGCCTATTATTTGCAGTTTTTATTAAAAAGTTAAATTGAGATTATTATACACTCTCTTCAGATTCCTTAATGAAAAAAAAATTAAAGTTAAAATCTAATGAGATTTCCTGGAAGCATTTTAAAAGGCTGCAACAGCAGTAAAGTCAGCAGACACCACACAGTGAAAGGAAGTATTTACCGATCAGAAGATGAATGCCTCTTCACCCAGAGTTTAACGGTTTTACATTATATGGATTTTTGAGAGGGGGAGAGAGAGAAGGAGAAAGCAAGAAAAACTCCAAGCCAATGCTTTCCTAATCTAAGACATCATATTGCTTCCTGATCAAAGCTTTCAAATTCTGGTGTAAACTGACTTCTTGCTCTTGTGACCAAAATCTCTTCTCTTTCCCCCGCCTCCCTCCATCTGTTCAGGCTTGGATTTGAAAGTCCCTACCGCAGAGGAAGAAAGCCTGATCCCTATTGCTTCGGTTGTGCTGTTGAAAGCCATTAATATTTCTCTGGCAGGTACCCTGACCCTGGTGCCCTTGAACATGCTTAAAAAACATAGGGTATCCCTGAGCCTTTGTCCCTGAGAGGATTAACAGGGTTGCCCTGGAGCCAGCCTGAAGGTGTTTTAATAGGTAATACGGGTGGGCTTCACAGCGGACTTCAAGCTTTGCCTCAGGCTGCCCCTGCTCAGCAACACAGATGCAGCCATTGAAATTAGGGGGTAAAGCATGGCTCTGTGCATGAGTTAGAGTGTGAATCCTTAGAATCTGGTGGAGGATATCTCTAAATACCTCCTTCTCCCAACAGGGCAGGCAACCCAATGAAGGGTACAGGGGCTAGAGACTTGTGCTGTTTCTGCCACTCACTTCCTCTCTGACCTTCGGTCGGTTACTTAAGCTATGTCTCCCTCTCTCTATTCTTCTATCCTCTCTGGTCTCTCTTATGGCTCTTTAGTTTATAAATTGTCTGAAGAAGGGGCTGTGGCGCTGTATGGTTTTGCTGTGCTTAGCACAAGTAGGTCCCAGTCTCAGCTGGGTCCTGTGGCTATATCATGGTAAAAGTAAATAAATAGATAACAGTGGTAACAATAGTTTGGGTTTTCTTTGTATGAACCATAGGTTCCTAATGGAGGAAAAGCCTCTTCTCTGAGTTTTTTTATCAGCAAGTGAAAGTCTCTCTTTCCTTGCTCAGCTGGAGAAGATACTGCCTTTGTAAATCAGACAAAACTTATGTAAAATGAAACACATCTTTGATTATACCGAATACTATCCTGTCTGTAATTTACTCTTGCTACTGCAAAGGACACAACATGATTAAGCTAAGAAACGATAGACTGAACATTATGTGTCAGGATTGAAAAAGATTTTTCCTATCTAAATAGGAAGCAATCATAAAAAAACAGTGAAAACACACAAGAAAATGTTTTAACATACAATAAACAAGCCACCCTGCTGTTGCCTTATATTGTATTGTTGCTCTTCTTGCTCAGATTGCTGCAGATACTTCTCCTGTAGCCTAAAATATTCTTTATTTTTAAAAAAACTACAAACTGTCATGATTTTTAATGATGTGAGTATCTTTCCTCCATAGGTACATATGCACAGTCTGCTAACTCTCCTGTGTTTCCCTGGGTGAATCCAGATTCTCCCAGTGGCATTTCTCAAACTGTAGATCTGTACAGTGTATTTTCCCAGAGCTGTTAAAAATATTGCTACTTAATAACAATATTTAACAGTACCAGCTATCACTCCTTATTTGGTGTACACCAGGTGCTCTGCACAGGGGGAGAGGGTTTATCATCATGGTTTTACAGCCCAGGAAAACAGGGTGTTGCATGTGGTACCAATTTCCCCCAAAAATGCTGCACAACATTCAAACAGGAGAAGGACCAACATACCATCAGCTCACATTTTATTCTTGGGCGTGTTACTACTTTTGTTTCCTCTAATATTACCACTTGCACTGTGCCCTCCCAAGAGCATTTCAGAGAATGATTACAGCAGAGCCAAGTGCTTTTGCAATAGCAAGCTCAGGTACTACAGCGAACAATACAAGTAACTTTCCTGATTTTGGAGTGTGACTTTGCCATATATAATGTTTAGTAACTTCTATTGTGTCTCTGATGATTTCTGGGTCTGGTGCCAATAACGTGATACATTCCTATCCAAATTAGCATATGATGATATTTTGTGCTAGTACTCCAATAATAAGGTCTGTTTGCTGTTTCCATATAGATGTATCTTTGACAGGAAGAGCAATTCTATAATAAGCCCAGGATGAAAAGCCCATCAATTGAATTGGTACCACATTACCATGGCAACAATATAATGCTAATGAAATTGCGTCTGTTGAACCTGGTTTATGGAACTCTACAAAACAGCCTTCACAAGAGGAGAAATCTTGTTGATTAGTAAATGTTTCAAAGCATGATGAAAACCTTAGAATTACATGTGCTGTGACTTATTAACCATGTTATCCTCATTTAATACATTGCTCTTTGTAAGAGCAATACTGCTCTCAAAAAATAAAATTATATGGCAAGATCTGTGTTTCTCCAGGTTTCAACATGCACCAGAGATAGACCCAATCACCTCTGTGCCCTGGTTTCACTGGGTCAGTTTGCATAGATGCATATTGAGTCATGCAGTTTTTGCTGCTTATTTAATCTCTCTTAGACTCTATAAAATACACTGCTGTAGCTATAATTTCTGTAAGAAAAATGTGGCTTAGTTTATATCAAATTATTCCACAAAAACATATCCTTTTAGATTAAACCCTACACAGAGAAGGTGTGGTAGCAGAAACACACTCTTGGCTTCCCCCCTCCTTCCTTCCCCTTTGGCAGTTTACTGCCATATAGATGTGGCAGTATAGAGGCAGGGAGCCACCCTCCCAGAGGGATGGGTCTCATCCCTCAGGACAGCAGTCCTTGCTGAAGGCAAGGTTTGATATTGTGCCTGCTTTTAAACAAAAAAATGCTGAGCACTCAGATTTCCTGGCCAGTTGTGTCTCTGGACAGCCAAAAGGCTTCTGGGGAGTTGCCTCACCTCTAAGTGTCTGGGGCTTCAGTGTTGAGGTTTCTACAGCAGGATCTCATTTTTAGCCAATAGATAATATTCCTTGCTGTTTTCACCTTGGAAATAAAGAGTGTAGCTCATCCTATAGAGTCCATCTCCGAATTTGCCAGGTACATCAGAACAGAACAGCAGGTGTGCCAGCAAGCAATGAGCTCAGTGAGGCAAGGGGGCTACAAATGTGTGTCTCCTTTGGTAGGCTAACAATACTGTCAAATAGTCACCACTGTAGTATTGTCTAGGTATTTAGCAGAAACAATGGGAGAGAACACTGCTCATTTTAGCGAAGTTCTGATTTACATGGCACGGAAGTCAGCAGAAATCTTCATAACATTAGATTTAATGGGCTTTAGATCAGGGCTTTAAAGGGCTGTTTCTGAAAGCTCCATGATCGATCCTATTTGGAAAAGGAAGCCCTGTCTAACATTTCGTTATGCCCATGGTTTGTGGGAAAGCAACACACCGAATTTCTGAGTTGATAGAAATATAATGTAATGTAATTTCCCCTAATATATATTTTGCATTGGATGACAGTTTTATTAAGCAGAACTAATAATCATCATTATTCAGTGTAATAACCATCTCATTAGAAATAGTCTGATTTTCCATAATTTTAATTTACCTCTCAGACTAAGCTATTCTAAAATTACTGAGGTGCCTACAGTGCAGTTTTGTAAGACTTAAGGAGAAACATAAGTCGTCAGAAAGCAACCACTGAGTGCTGCTAAAATAGTGATACGCCAGAGCATTGTGAGAGAAAAGGAAGTACAGAAAATTCAGGTTAGGAAATTACTATATCACTTTTTATTTTCTTACTGTGTTAGAAGTAACATGTTTTGCACCCATTTTGCACAAACAATGAGAAATTGTATGGTTTCCTTCAAGCCTTGGATGCACTACCCTTTAATAAAGGATGGCTAAGGATCACTCTCACCAGAGAGTGCTGGTGAGGAGGAGATGACAAGCAGAAATATTCCTTGGAGAGACCGAGAAGGAGATGAAGACACCAAGCAAGTTTCATTATCCTCCAATGAAAATAGGATGTAAACTGTGACATCCAGGCAGATTACATATGTCAGGCAAGCGGATGTGAACAGAAAAATGCAGATGCTAAAACTCACCTAATAGGCTTACTCTGTGGATTATTCTCCATGACCAAGGCTATATTAACTTTTTTCTGTATGTTAACTATAGTCTACATACAGGATATAAGAAATATGCATTCATAAGTGAATCTGGGAACATTCCCAGCTGTGCTGGAGTTAATGCTCTTTGATATACCTTGGAGCATCCAAAAAGCACTTTGGGTGTCATATACTTCTACAGACATCATAAATAGCACTATGGCATATACATATATAGCTTTAGTTCCAAAATTTCAAAGGCCACTTTTTTTTCTCTAAAAATGTGCTCAAAAGTTTTTATATTCAAACAGAACTTGTACATGCAAACTGCTATAGCAGCTTGATTTTGTTTTGCCAGTTCTGAAAACACATTTGATCAAAAGAGTTTTGTTGCAATCACAGAGAGAAGTAACCTCATATGAACAAGGAAGCACTTTGCAGGTTATATTATAAAAAAGACAAATTGTCTAAAGGTTTTGTTTATCATCAGATGCTACTCTATGTAGCTCCAAGTAATAAAAAATAACTTATTTGGTTTGTTGGGGTTTTTTTAATGTTCCCCTAAAATAACACAGAAAAGGCAGTCTCTCCTGTGGAAGCACTCTGCTTACGAAATCTCTTCTCTTTGAAATTTGGAGACTTTTCCATGTGTAATATTATTTGTTCAGCTATAAGAACATAGAGTGCAGCATTGAAAAGCATTACACTATTATCCCAAGGTAATTTGATAGTCTGTAAATGTATTTTCCTACCTGTGGTTCCAGGCATTATGCTCTCATTTGAGGTAATGATTTGCAGTTATTTATACAATTCAAGTTAGCCCATATTGGTTTCACCCTGAACATTTACCTGCATAGCACAAACACGGCTTATTTGTAGACTGTACAAGCCAGACTAGATCAGCAGTGCAATGGGATGCCTACTGTAGACAGCCAGCTTCTGGAGGAAGTGGTGTGGTGACTCACTGGTGGCTGTCTCCTGCCTACGTCAATGTTATCACAACCATACATCAGCATGAGTCTGCTGGACATGTTGCATTTTAAGTCTGACATAAAACTATTGCTCTGATCTGATGTGGCCAGTAAATACAGCATGGCACTTTCCAGAAGTACTTACCCTGCTTTTCTCTTTTGGCCTCTGAGTGGGATGTAAAAACTCACCTTAAATTTCTCTTGCATTTCCATTCCCCCCCAACACTGAAAACTAAGTGGTCCAGTGCTAACTGGGTAGTTTTTTACCTCCAATGCACCCACATTTCAGGGTGATACCACTCATTTGTAGAATTTGTAGTGCTAGTGAATGTGGACACAAGACTTTGATTTTGGATGGGCTCAGAGTTCACCTCCCTTACTCTCACTTGGGAGTCTACGCTATGAGCAGATTTACATGAGGTGACAATAATTTCGTCCTGGCTCTTAACTGGTCAGCAAAGGATGGAGCACTCAGTGGTGTTGGCAAGAAGAAAGTCTCATTAGAGAGTAGGCTGCTTTCTCTGTCCCCGGTGATACTCTGGGAGCCTGGGATGAATTCAGAGGAGCCATGCACTGGTGACATCCATTGAGCTGCCTGCTCTCTGTGGGTGGGAAAATGCTCAGCAACACAAAAGATTTAAAATATGATTTACACTCTCTCATTCCAGTGTCATATATTCCTGAATATCACCTCAGTTCATATTTGATATTGGAAAAAATATTAATGTCAGGGGAGTGATTTGAAGAAGGGTGCAGTGTCCTGGCTTCAGGTGGTCAGCAGCCAGGGCAGGAGCTCCTACCTCTGCCTTGCTGCTGCCCCTGTCCTCAGCTGGAGTAGAACCCAGTATGTGGGCAAGAGGCCTGGAAGTGCCTGAGGGAGGCAGGTGTGAAAGCCACAGTTCAAATAAAGCAATGGGGGACAGTAAATAGAAATTGTTGTGTTGCTGGTTTCTCCTCCCTTACCTGTTCATGGTGTCTTGCATACTGTTGTGACAATTCAGCCAGTTTCTTTAAAATAAAATATGAATGTTTGAAATACTACTTCTGTTATGGTGAAAATCTTTAAAGTCCTGTATTTTGAGAGAAAGATTAATACTCAACTTGTCTTTACAGGACACAGTATCATCTAAGAACGGCAACACTTTAAAAAGTGCAAGAATCCCAGTTTACCATCCCAATGTCAGTTTATGGTAACATTTATGACATTAATATAATGGATTATGACCTTTCTTGGCTTGTCTGACTGACAGTTATTCATATATAACACAGTACTTATCACCTTGGTCCTTCCATAATAATAATCCCTTCAATTTTCTGAGCTGTGTCATCAAAACATGTACTCATAAGTGTTGATCTCATCTCTGGGAGAGTAGTACCAGGAGCTCCTTTTGAGCTTTATGTCACCGAAAATCTAGAGTGAAATTGAAGACCAATTGCAGAAAAATACCCTGTCTCTAACTTTATCACACAGTCTGCATAATGGTAGCCCTTATGATTTTAAATGATTTACTGAGTCCTGTCAAAATGATGTACCTTTTTGCATGGAAGTTATTGAAGTTCAGAAATGCCATTATTCTGTATGACTGGAAAGATCTTGAGGAAATACACAATAGATGGTGTGCTACAATTACTTACCTTGACCTCCCTATTTTTTTTTCTTGCTCTTTAATCTCAAGATAGACAAGAATAAAATATATTTTCTTTAATATTTAGGCTGAAAATTTGCTGTGCAATTTGTACCTGCTTTCCTTGAGCCCATTTTTACTAAACAAGGTGTTGAAATACTGTTTTCATATTAGCAGTTTCATGTGCATCATATTTAAAAGGGAAAAGAGGAAAGTGAAAATGTTGCATGTTTCCAAAAATTGACCACTTAACAAATACTAATGATGTGGATAAGGGGAGGCTCAAAAGACCAGGATTAGACACCAAGGTCTGTCACAGTCCTGCTCATTACCCTGTTGTTTCTCTGTTTGCACTGAGGCTCCCAGTGATCATCGAGATGTTCCCTACCATCCTCTGAGCAAGGGAGCTGGATTGGGACTGTTGCTGTGACATGCGAATGATGTTCACGTGGTGGGGTTGGGTCTGCTACAACAAGCCGATTATTCAACTTTATTCAAACAAACCTGGGAATTGCACTAAACACCTCACACCAGCAAAGTAGGACCATCTTCCCCTGCATGGAGATGACACCTGTGTCTCTCTGAACATAGCAAGCCGTGGGTACAGCCACAGCAGCATGCCGGTCTTTACAGAGCACAGGATGTTCTCGTGCATGTAAGGATCCTTCGAACAATAAATATTGAAAAGAATCATCATCTCTTTAAGCCAGCTGAACAATTCCACATGCCTTAGAGCCACATGGAGATAGGACACCCCCATTCAAAACAGGGCTCTGCTTCCACAGACAGACAGGCCTGCCTCTCCAGGGAGTGCCGAGGCTCTCCAGCCCTTGTTGTTTCTCTGGGGCTACACACCACTGTCATTCTGGAATAAACATCCCATCTACAGGAATTTCAAGTTCAAGCAAGAACAAGCCTATAGCACAGCAAAAACCAGCCCCGGCACATATCTGTGACTACATCTATACTGATGCCTCTATCTTCTCCCCAGTATTTTGTCAAGAACATGACATCCTGCTAACTTTTTTTGATTTTTTGGTTTTGTTTTGTTTTTTTTTTAATAAACCAGCAATTTGACAGGGTAGCTGCATGCAAGACAGAGGTAATGCTGTTCTGTGGACAGAACAGAGGTGCTCTGGTGCTCAGCTCTCACCTCCGGAAGATGCCTTCAACACTCTGAATCAAAACGGTTCATCAGTGACAGATCCGGGGCTAGCGTTTCAGGCTTGGTGCTGATGAGCAGCCATTTTCATCTCTGGACCTGGTAATTAGTTATATTCAGCTTAGAGACAAGTAGTTGGACATTTGTCACTGTTTCTGTGAAAAATGTGGGCATGTTTTCTTGGGCTATCAAATGGGACATATGGGAACTGGATTCCATCTTTCATTAGATCTTGGGAATTGTGTCCTCCTGAGGCAATTAATTAGCATGATGTTCTTGGCTGCTAATGTTTGCTTTCAGATTTCAGTGGAAACAGAGTTGGAAACACAGATTTTGTGAGGATGGTCTAATGGTTTAGGGCATTAGCCAAGGCCTACACACAGCTTTCTTCAACCCCTCAGCTTTTACAGAGTTCCCTTATGTATGCAGAGAAGACCTGTGGTTTCTGTCCATGTCTTAGCTTTCTCTTTGAAAAACCAATATAATTGCATTTTCCAGTTTCACATGACAGGTGTAGTACAGATTTCACCTCAACAGAGGCCAAGGCAGCACTGCTGCAGTCCTTTACCACCCTAGCTACATGATGGAGAAGCTATTCTGCAAAGCTTTTTTTTGATCCTTCTGCAGTTTAATACAAAAACATTTACATTAGAAAATTGTCAAATAAACACATTTCTATTTGTTTACTTTCAGTTTGCCCACTGCAGATATCTGCAGGCTGTCCATACCTCTATCTTTGAAAAGCACATCTGTGGAAAAAGGCATATTGCCCTATTTAAGTGAGCTATTTGACGTAGGCTCATATATAAGGTATAGCCCCTCAGCTGGTGTCTTTCAAGATCATTTCCAAACTATACCCTTCCTAAATCAATGTGATATACAGCAAAACCACACACTTGTAACCTGTGAATACAATCCGGATATATAATCTAGACTGCTTGTTTTGCTTTTATTACTTCAATTATATTCATAATGTTATATAATTATAACAATTCATGGCTGAAGAACAGTGTTAGTTATAGCTATGAAAAAATTTCATGCCTCTTTTGAAGGGGGGTGCAAGCAAAATACAAAATATCTAGCCAGTACAGTTATACAGTGAATAACACATCCTCCATGGGGAAGAACACATGCTTTTCTTTAGTATCTATGAAACAATAACACAGGGCTGAATCTTCAAGGGGAATGGAGAGGAGGAACCTATTTCAGTGCACCAAAATGCTAGTGTCATTTTATAGATGCATTTTTTAGCACTAATGCAAATAAGCAGTTGTGTGGTATAGGAGCTCACTTCAGTGGCCACTACTGTATCTGATCTGAACTCACAAAAGGCATATTACAAAGCTGTTTGAAACAGATGTGCTCTTACCCTCCATTTAAAACAAAATTAGTCCATGTTGTTAATTTAGGTAACCTTTGCAGTCACTAATACAATCACATATACATCACGCACTTTTTAAGCATCTATGAAAGACATTAGGCAAAAGAAAATAATGAAGATAAGAAGAATATACCACTAAACAGTATCTGCATGTTTGATACTCCTTCCTGATAGCTCATTCACAGTTAAATGGAATGAGAAAATGAAAAACATTAAATGTAGTATTGTCTATTTTCATCTGATGCAGCTAGGTTTTATAACTCAAACACTCTGAGATTGAACTCTGCCAGACAAACTTTTGCTAATTAAAAAACAACAAAAATACGAGCAGGACAGCTGAATAACTGACGGCAAATTTATCCTCTATATCCAATGTATTCATGGCATGCTTTTTTATACTTTTTGCTACTACCCTTATTATCCAATGTTATCTTAACTCAATGCTTCTTCAGAATCCCTTATTCCTCCCATCAGCTCAGGCTGATCTATTTCCACACATCCAGCATTCAACCTCCAACGCTCTGACTTTCAAACCGTGTCTTTTGCAGACCACCAGGAAGGGATTTGCAGAACACTGGCTGAAAGACGCTTATTGTGCAACTAATAAGGAAGGTTGAAATACCATTAAAATTCTGACTCATGCTTTAAAATGCCATGAAATTTGGAATTACAGCTCTGCCTTGCATCCCTGGTTGCACAATTGCAGTTGCGTACTGCCGACGGTGCAGTATGATCACAGGCTGCCTGCAGCAGCTGAAGCACACAGGCACTTTGGACCACTGCAGCTTTTTGCTCTGGCTCCTGATGGCTTATTTGGGAGCCTGATCTCCATTAAGGCTACAGGGGAAAGCACCAAGTTAAAAGTTTAAGCTCTGAATTACTCTGATGGTTTTACTTCAGCCCCTCACATATCGCTGTCTTTGAAGTCACAGCACCTCCCTCCATGTTCAACTATTTAGTTTTGGCCTCAAGGCTACACTTGCCTTTAAATTATCATCAGATGACAAGAGGAAAAGTAAAATGCTTAGAAAGTGTAAATTTTATCATTCTCTTTTAAAAATTGGGGAGAAACCATATCTTGTATTTCATACTGTTCTTTTGAATCGCTGATTTGAAATGATTTGGTGAGAGGATATCACGCCTATTTCATGGGACCAAGAATTTTCACTTGATGCATGCTGGTGTGATGGAATCTTAAGATCTGCTGTATGGATGGAAGTATAAGTATGAAAATTAAGATCCAATGCAGCTGCATAAGAAAAATCATTATGATTAAAAATTGAAGAACATTGACCTACGTTATTGACTGACAATTGTAAACCTTTCATTTTACAGGAGAGCTGCTTCCAAATTTGTACATAAAAATCTTCAAAACCATTGGCTCTTTTCTGTGCAGGTTTTAAAAATGTAGTTAAATTTTGTTTGCGTGTTGATTATGGGGCTAGATATTGCTAGGTATTAAGCAATACCAGCATAAAAAAAAAAGGCCCTATATTACAGTGGAATTGCTTACAGAGCTACAGACAGCCTGAAGGGAGCTGCTCTTATGGTGAATGTCCATGCATGATGTAAACCTCCTTTTTGGTGGTGGTGTTTAGTAATTTCCGTAGCAGGTGGGTGTTACATTTTTAATTGATTCCTAGCAGCACAGTCTGTAACCTTCACTGATATGTGTCCATTTCACAAGATTATTGACTTTTGACATATCTTGCTAGATGTTATGATGAGACAGATCTTTTTTGCACGATTGATGTCTATTGATATTACATTAGTTCATCAAGGTTAGAAATCACACTGCATCGCACTACATTTCACATTTGCTGTATCATGACAAGAGGTTTATAATATTCACTCTGGGACATATAAAATGCCTGCTACCCATCCCTTGGATAAATAATTTAAGAAATTGTTGGAAAATCATACCTAATTAGTAGGACCTGCACTCAACAGGTACCCTTTGATTTAAATTGTATTTGTATTTTGATAGGTATTGATTTTAGGAGTAGGAGAGATGAATAATACATTTTGCATTTCTCCACTATGCATAGCAATAATCTGACAGAAATAATGGAGGAACGCTCCTGCAATGGAAGCGGCCTCTTTGGGGACCTGCATGCCTTCCCCAGGAAGCCCATGGGGCAGTTAATGGCACTCCTATGTGGAATGGTCCGATCCTTTTTTCTCCTGCTGATTTGCTGTATCATCCTGGACAAATCACTCAGCCTCTCAAAGTCTTTCCTTTTCCATCAGTAAAATGGAAACAGAGTGGTTCCTCTGATGGTCACAAGACATATGGAGAAAAGCAATAGATACATCCAAGTGGGTATTATACAAGTCCTGACTGGCACTACCACATGGAACAACTGGGCAAAGAAGGAGCCAGCAAGTGAGTCTTTCTGTGGGCACAGGAGACTCTTGTTATACCAGAACCCATGGTGAAGCCATGTACCTGTGAGAGCAGTTCAGTGGAGGTGGGCTGCACGCAGCACAGCCCAACCCCGGAGGGCTGCTCTCTGTCCCTGCTGTCAGCAGCAATGTTCTGGTTATTTTGTCTACTCACTTTCCTGGATGAACTGATACAAGATTAATTTGGTTTTCTTTGGATGCTAATCTCTTAGAGTGAGAAGAGGGAACAAGATGAAGGTTGTACCATGCAAATAACCCGGCTAACACATGCAGGCTGGTATCTTCCTGAGGCAATAGCTGCTCAGCATGCAGGTCGGCAAGCCTGCTTGCATGAGTGGCCAGGGGTGAGAAGCAGAAACAGACAAAAAACACCTTTGAGATTGAAAACAAATCAGAATATATCAGTATTTACAAATACCAATTTCCAGCATCCCAGCAGCTATAACAAATGCAGACTCTATGAGATAACCATAATTATAGAAAAGCTTTATTTTTATTTTTTTTCACCCAGTATGCCAGCTCTGATTAGAAAGGAAAACCACAGGCTCAACTGTGCAACACAATAAACTATGGCATCAAAGCAAGCATCAAAGTGGCCCCTCGGCTGCTGGCAAACAGTACAGTCATAAGAAAAGAGGCAATGAAAATACAATAAGTAGAAATAGTACTTTTCCCCCCATAACATAAACACCATAGACATTTTTTTAATACAAAGAGAAGCAGGATCCAACGTGACAGCTTTACATTTGCCAAGTATCATGGGAGGACTGTAAAATACATCCTCCCCAAACCAAGCCAAAGGAGCAGAACGAGCCAAGATGTTCTCATAAGAACAAAGAAATCCCTTTTCTTAGGTCTCAGACAGTTAGCAGGCTTAAATTTGTGGGTTTTCTTTTCGTTGTAGTTTGGTTGGTTGGTTGTTTTTTTTTTTATTTTTGTCATCATCATCTCTGTCTCATGCTATCTTCAGCAAGATGCGCCAAAATATCTACTGGTGCCTGTGTATGTAGGTGCAGTCCACTGCACTAAAACCACTTTATGGTCTTCAAATAATGGAACTTCTATTTAAGACATTTTATTAGAATATGCAACTAAAAAAAAATCTGAAGTAGACAACTGAGAGCCAGGACTGCGCAACTCTGAAGTAGAAGGATTGCTGTCACATGGAAGAGCAGACGATTCATATGCGTTTGAATCCTCAGCCTCTCACAGAGGGAGATTTCAATAATGTGTGGTAGGTTTCTTTGTGATGCTTTTCCTTTTCTCCTTTTTGTTTAGTTAATATTTTACATTCTTTTAGAAGTATTACCTGCACATGAAGGCCTATACTCATATAATCATAAGTGATATGCAACTTCTCTGTCTTGCCCTTCTACTTTTAGGCAGATTTATAGAAATGGGGGCCTGGCAACCCACAACTGAGGAGCATGGGAGCACACAGCTGAAAGTATAAGAATGGGGCTGCTTGGACATATTTTTTCCCTTTTCTCATTAAGGTTTTCTCTGAAGAATTTTTGTAGGAGCCTTAGCCAGTGAGCACCCATCACTTCTAGGTTCCCAAGCAGCCACAGCACAGGGAGAACATGTTTAAGATTGACACACTCTTTCTTCTTATGCCTGCTGTACCCTCCCAGATGCAGTAATTTGCCCTATTCTGTATCTTTCATAAGAGACAAGCAATATTAATTATCCTGAAGTATTTTTTTAAGAAGATGAATATTGGAGAAGTTCTTACTTATTTCACAAGTTATTCTGCTTTCTATGTAAAATGCAAAGTGATTGTAATAAGTTTCATTTTGAGGCAGATCCCTCCTGGCTAACCCCTCTAGTAAAGTCTGATTCCAGGTGAAGCCAACATGAGAACCGTATTTGCTTTTATGAATGCTAAAATGGTCCATGAATCTCAAATAGTATTGCACCCTCTGTTTTATAAATATTTTATGTGTTTTTCTTCAATAAATACATATATTTTGCTTTTTGAATCTCAGGGCCCCTTTTGAGCTGCATGGCTCTTAGAATCTTAATAGAGAAGTAGCAACATGAAACTGAAAATAAATGCTTTCAACAAACAGGGAAAGTCTATATTTCACCAAGAAAAGTGTGGCTTAAAATAAAACAGACTCCTGCAACATCTAAATCCTGCATATTTTCTGCAGAGCATGCCACAGCTATTGACATGCTGTTGGTTTTATATGTCCCAGGATGCATGAATTATTACTGTCATTTGACATTTTATATTCCTAATTCCATAGCCTATAGCAACACTTACCGTCAGCTGTAGTAGACTATACCAGACCTCTGGCAATGCCTCTTATTGATCAAGCACTGCTCAATGTTTGCCTGCTCAGTAATGCAAAGACAACCTAATTCTCTAAGACAGAAAACCCACAAGTTACTGCATTTGGGATTTCTAGTCCTTTCAAGAGACTCAAGACAAGGAACACAGATTACAGCTACTTTCTCCCCCCCTGGGAGGCAAACTGAGTTGTCTTACAAGCTTCAGGTACTACAAAAGAAAGTGCATTGCACAGTAATACTAACAAGAAAAGCTGGATGGATGCTAATGAAGGGTACTAATATGAAAACTGGGTATGAAAGGGACCTCAGGAATGAAAGAAATATTCTGCTAAGAGTCAGTGGACTTGCAGTGCCAGGCTTATTAACTTCTTGAAAAAGGACCTAGACAAAGTGAGTAACACGGAGACCTCAGAAGCAGAGAAACTATGTCAAAGGTGTTTGTGCTTATGATTTGAAGGAAGAGAAATTTGCTGCAAGCTCACTTAGGTGAAATTCCCTGGAGACAGCAAGAGCATGATTTCATGCAAATAATAAAAAAGAAACTGCAAATCACAGGGCAGTAGAGGATACCACAACTGTCCATGACCAGACCCAGTGCAGCAGTGACTGTTTCCTGGACTTAGCTAATACACACACCAACACCCTCTCAAGTCAAAGGAAAGCTGATCTACCCTTGACATGGGACAAGTCTTGTCATGCACTGCAGCTCACCACAGCAGCACATCAGCATCAGCCCCTACCTTGAGGAGCTTTTTTATCACCTGCTCCCTTCTCCCAATCCACACTCTTCCTCTCCCTTCGGTGCTACCCCCTCTGACCCCTCTCTCCTCCTTCCAGGGAGCAGCCATGGCCCCAGCATGGCTCCCCAGGACATATGGAGCAGGTCAGCAGGGAACAGGGGCACAAGGGACAGCAGGAAAGAACTCTGCAAGCTGTGGTGTTAGCACAGAAACTTTGACCCTTTACAACACATGCAGCTTATTTCACTTTTTTTTGTTTTTTAATCTCCAAGTGATAGATGCAAATAATAGCCGTTGTCAATGAGGCTCATTAGCAGCATTTTATTCATTTGTTACACCTTTATACTGCTGTTATTCAAATGCGTTTTCTCCTTTGCACCAGTGCAGCTGATGTGGGTTCACCTGATGCAAAGAGAAGGGGGACAAACCCTCAGCTGGAGAAAAGTGCCCCCTTGGAGGTCCTGAAGTTGGGTTTTCTGGGCCTGGCACTCTGCACTGCCCTGCATGTGTGTGTGGTGTCCGAGCACAGGGGCCTGATGCTCATTTGCCACATGCTGGGGTCCCCTCCCGAAGGTGAGGGCCACCGCTGTACTTTCCAGGGCTGATGTCTGCACCACATGTGCTGGGTTTCTGTGTATGTGCACATCAGCATGGCCATGACCACCTGCTCCACAATGTGAGTCAGCTGGGTGCGAGCCTGGTGGCCAAGCCCTGCCAGCGGTGGGTTCCATGTCTGCATGCCCTCAGCACAGTCCTTCTGTAGCAGCAAGTGCCCTGTGTGGGGTCAGCCAGGAGACAGCTCTGACCCACACCAGTCCCAGGTGTTTCTGTCAAAGTCATGACAATGCCAAGGTAAGGGACACGTTTAGTTTGGCCAGCCTGAACCACCAGAGAATTTGTGCAAGGCTAGCTCGGCTTCTCCCCTTAGCCTCACAGCCGCCCTTCCTCAGGGTCTGGTCCCTGGGGGATCATCCTGGCCTTCTACCCTGGACAGGTCATGCTTCACACTCGAGGCACCAGTGTTCACAGTATTCCCAGGGCCAGTTGCTCAGAGACTGGAATACTTCAGTAATAGCCCATCAACATTTTCTTGCTAGGTGAGCATCCGGTCCGGCATCTGACAGTGCCCTCTCCCAGATGCTTGTGACAACCCCTATGTGGGGTGAGGACCTTCCCCTATTCTAGGGACCCATTGGACCAAACTCTCAATGCAGATCTTGGATTTGACCCCTGCAGATTGTGGCATTGCTCCTCGCTTTGGCTGCAGAGACAGTGGCTGCAGCACCCTCCTGGCATGCTCTGCCGGTCTTCAGAAAAGGGCTTTTCCTGCAGCTATTGCTTTTTCTCCCCAGCTCTGAGTGCGAGAGTAAGCCTGAACCATGGCAAAGGGTTTTTCCTGCTTGCACTGCATCTTTCTCTTCACTCTCTCCATTGTCTGACCCTTCTGCTTCCCTCGCCTGTTCCACCAGTGTTCCTGCCACCCGAGGAGCCCCCAGTATCTTTGTTTCCTGGCTGTATCTCTTGGAAAGCATCATCGGGTCATGAACCATTTCTTCCAAACACTGGCTGTATCTGCTGCCTTAGCACAATGATGGAGTTGCCTATATGGTCTCAATTTGCTGCAACAAAAAGCCACACTTCTTCAATCTATTCAGTGAGTTTTTGTTATCACTTGAAATACAGCAGTACAGCTCTGCACCCATAATGTCTTCAGAGCCACTTAACAGCACAGCTAGATAGCACGATTCCAGTTGAGCTCAGCTGAACACAGAAGGTGACTTCTGGTGCTGGAGCACTTCATCACTGGGGTAAGGTAGACTGGTGAGGCAGGGCAGCATTTGACTAGGAAAACCTCTTTCTCTGACATCCTAAGAGGGCAGCATAGCTGTACGAGCTAAACTCTTGCTGGAAAACAAAAATGTTTTTGCTTTGTCAAAACATTACAGTGGTGATTTTGTTCCTGTCTTTTGAAGGGATGAGATTTAATGGACAGATCCATTCAGCTCCTCAGTCAGCTTGAAGAGAGCTGGTTAATAACAAAGACCATTTGCATTCACACAGTCCCACCAGCTTCCTTGCATGCATAATGCCTCTTTGGTTGACTTCTCCCAGGGAGAAAACCAGTTTCCTGCTTTGTCCTTGGAAATGGTGGAAGGTGCAAACTCCAGGCTAAATGCAGCTCTTCTCTGCTTCAGGAGACTCAGCCCACTGGCCTCACATTCCTGTGGTCAAATCTAGCAGAGCAAACATCTGGAACATGAAAACAAACTCCCAGATTCAGGCACTCAGTCATAAGAAGGACAGGGAGGGTGTTTCTGCTGCAGTTCATCATCACTAGGGTGAGGTGTATGTGTGGGTGTGCGTACAGGCACACATAACAGTCGTCCTAAACTTTCTGTAAAGACAGTGCATTGTGTGCATCTGCACAAAAAGATTACAACTCCAGGTGAAATGGGAATTTTACAGCCCTCTAAATCCTTAACTTTGAATCTTTCAGTGTTTATGCAATTTGGGAGGAGTCTAATTTTGACTTATTGACATCAGCACACTTTACTGAGTGAGAAGGTCTAACTCCTACTATGATTTCCTCTGAATCCTCATATGAAGAAACAGAATTATTACATTTATGCAAACACGGGGTGCAGTGTTTTCAATAAAACAAAATGCCTTTAAATGAAATACTTCATATAATTTGATTTATTTGTAGTCCTGCTTCTAAAGATTAAAAACATCTACAGTCTTCCCATGATCAATAATCCAATTTTTAAGGGGCTGTTACTTTAATTATAAACATATAAAAGCAATCTAAGTTACTAAAACCCTATATACAGACACATTGTAAAAGCCAAACTACTTTTTACCCAGCAGGAAAAAAAAAAAGACATAAATAGGTCTGAAATGTTGCAGACATAAATATTTTGGACAGACTAGAAAAACCTCTGAGAATTTGGGATCATAATCAAGCCCCTTAGCAGACCATTCAGTAAACCACAGCCTGAAGGACCCTGTGGTGGGTCCCAGTCGTGGAGTGGGACGTTGGAAGGATGCAAAAGGCAGCACACCTGCTTTGCTCCGGGGGCCATTCACCTGGCACTATAAACAGGTTACAAAGTAAAAATGGCTTCGTAGGTGTGCCACAAGCATTCACAGCTTCTGTGTGCAATGCGGTGTGCTTCAGCTGACAGAAGAAAAGAGAGAACACGCATTCCTTCTCTGTCTGCAGCCAGATGGGCATTTTTTCCTCTCTGTTTCTATCTCTTTCTGCCCACCTCCTTCATCCCTCATCCAAGCTCCATAAGCTTCCTATTACACCAGAGTTTAAATCCATTTGTGTTAAACTATTACTGTTGTAGATGCTCTTTCTATCTTCCTGCTGCTCAGTAGGAAGTAGACTTAGTGGTGCCACCCTAACTAATGAAGATTTATTTAAGAACAGCTCAAACGCATTAAAAACCAGTAGCTTGATCCCACAGTCCTGTTCTAAAGCCTACAACCTCCAGCCCTAATTGATCCATTGTGGTGTCAAAACAAAGTGCTCTTGGCAGACCCAACACTGTCTCAGATGCATTCTTACATATATTAGTTGCATTAAATAAATTATTATCACTGCACCAAACTGCCTCCTGGCCTCATCACGCGTTAAAATTTCAGGACCTGCTTGGGGCTCACCCTGCATTGCTGACATCTATGAAACTGCCATCCACACAGTCACCCAGAGCCAGACGCTGCAGTCAGGCTCATGCAGCAGCTTGTAAGCACAACTGTATTTTTAACATCCCAGAAACAGTTACTGCGTCATCTCCCTTTATGGCTTTCCTGGAATATTCTTTATATTCTTTGGTTTGTACAAAGTGCTGCGTCTAGGACGATAACTCTCCCTGCGCAGATTGGATGGGATATTCCTGCCCTGTGAGGAACACATGGCCTTCCTCCTAAACATAACATATTGATTTTAAAATTGCTTTGATGACTAGGAAAGCAAAGCACAAATGGGAATCAGTGCATTTATCAGAGCTCTGCTCTTTGTGCGAGGGCAGACGACGTTTCTGATTGCCAGAGGACAAGCGTACTGGTCTCTCCAAAACATGAGGTAAAGATTTACGCAAGATGTGCTCTTAACTCTTGTCCTGCCCAAGTCCAGAAGTCATTTCCAATAGGTTGGAAACGCCAAGCCAAACTTAAATCTTACCTTAACCTGTCTTTTTATGAAGGCTGACTCATCACTAGCTCTGCTTTCACTGTCAGTAGTAGGGCAAAACTGCTCTTTCACAAGGATGATATTTACTCCATATTGAAGTTTATTAGGCTTCAGCTTTTTATAAGGCAGCAGCAATTAATTGCATGGAACATGTGTTTTCATCATCCCCAGCTGTAACTGTTAGAGGGTACAATGAGAGAAGAGATAAGGTGTAAACACCCTACAAAAATAATCTCTGGGCTTTGATATGGATGTATTGATTGCAGTCACCTGGTTATCATCAAATCTTTATGTGAAAGCACTGAATGTATATTTTATTTTAAACACTTAGCTCCTCTAAATCACAATCACTGATATTTTTTTTTTGTGACAGTAACAGGACACATTAGCTAGCTCTCCCTCTTAGAAAAAAAAACAAAAAAACCCCAAACCAAACCAAAAAAAAAGAAAAAGAGGACTTACAGCCCAGTGTGTGGCCAGATAGGACATTACTTCATCTTTTGTCACGGTTTGGTAAACAATAAACCTGCTGAGATTTAACCGGGAACTGGTGCTAACTCATGTTCCTCATAGACCTTGGGTCAGCTGAGCGTGGATGAACATCAGACAGAGCCTATGACCAGCAGCACATCATCAGGGCAGCCACGGGGCGGCCGTCAGGCACCGCAGAGCTCCCGCCAAGGTAAGAGGGAGGAAAACTCTTGGAGACAGCACTGGAGAGGCAGGGGGAGGTGAGGTTTGCTTCAAAAAAATCCCACACCTACCAAATCACACTGAGCTCCTGCCTGAGGAACATACTGAAAGATTAAGAGAATTAATTATTGAGCTTACTCATGTTTATTCAATCTTCCCTTTTGTTTTCATTTTTCTACTACTTTTTCATCTCTCTTGCTTTTCATTCTCTTGTCTGCTTTTGCTTCTCTTTTTTTTCTGCTTTTTCCTATTTCTTCCCTTCCTCTACTGTTTCCAATCATTCCCTTCTGTGCTTTTCCTCTACCTTTTCCCTTTTTTCAAGTGTCCTGTCCCTCTCATTTGCTCCCTGCAGGAGAGGAGAGGTGGGCACTGCTGTAATTTAGTGCTGATTCCTTATCTAGGTTGGGATAAGCAACAAAAAAAAAAAAAAGAAAGGAAACGACACATATTTTGTTTGAAAAATGTCACAGGTCCTTTAGGATCCTGATTCAATCCCTCCAAAAAATAAATCAATTTCAATTTTTAACAGGCATCAGATCACAACTCAAGGTACCTCTCCTTGGATGCAGTAATGAGTCAGCTAGTTCTAGAAACTGTGGGATATAGGAAACATATTTTGCCAGTTACTCATGGGCAATTCTGCAAAATTCACCACAACCACTATTTAGTGAGCTCTATCACATGGACTTTGCCATTGTTCAATCCCCTTGTTTTTACACACTTATTCCAACACTGAAAATAAAGATATCTATTTACTTAAGCACATCTTTCTGAACATTTTTAAATGCAATAAGCTCTTCATTTTCTGCCTTAAGTCACACCAAGGACAAGGCAGTAAGAGCTAACAAAAGTTCTTACAAAAACATTAGAGGTACTGTAACACTGCTATCACATTTTTAATATGAGATAGTATTCTACACCTCAGATTTAATGCACACAGAATAGTTACAAGTACAATGGCATTTCGAAAACAACATTTAGAAGCATGAAATTACAAGTGTACTGACAGTTTTTTATGTGCTTCCTTCTAGCACAGAAGCTGCTGCTCTTTGTCCACCACATCCTTTGTGTCAAAAGCAGCCCAATACTAATAAATCTCAAATACACGTTTGAGATTCATAGCAAGAGCTGCAACACCCAGGTGGAATTTATAAACATGTCTTATAATTGTTTCTGTGCCATGCTAGAGCACAGGCAGAAGGAAAGGTCTCTTTGCCCTGTTACTGGGCATCATAAATGGAAGTAGCTTCATTCCTCTGCCTGGGATCTCATCTGTGATATGTGCAGTTCTGGCTGGACTTGAAGGGGACCAGTTTCCCAGCCCTTGCTGGAGCAGCCCTGGGCAGCACCACATGCCACTTGCAACCGGTGGAGATGGGACAGCCCTGCAACACCTTCTTCTAGCTCATATAGGGAACCAAATATCTTTTTAGGACACTTACTGTAAATATTGATGAGTATTTATGTAAGGGAGCAGCGGGGCTTTAAAATCTGGCAGTGCCTAGACTTAACAGGACTCAAATCTGCTACACAATTAAGATTTGGGGTTAGACTTCTTTTTAGGCATTTACATAACCTTAGAAAGTGCTTTACTCAGAGCTGTCAGTCAGAGAGGTTCCACACCCAATGTACAATGTTTGGATCTAAAAACTAGACCATAGTGTAATAAGCAGGTTTTTTCCTGAACTCATTTCACGTAATTGGGCAGGAATCCCGAGATACTGGAGGCTTGAATCCTGCCTGGAAGCACAGTGCTGGGCAGGGAGGGTGCTATATGGGTTACACTACTGGATTGTGACTCTTTGGTTCCTCAGAACAATTCCCTCTACCTTTCTCCACCCACCTGGCAATCTGGTGTCCCCAGCTTTTCCCTGAGGAGCCAGTTAACCCAGAGAACTGCAAGGATTTATTTAATGTAACAAAAGCTTTTGTTTTGTGAATATCAGGCTTAAGTCATTTTATGGATATATCCTCTGGAAATAATACTCAGATTTCCAGAGCTTTAGAGTAGCTATTTGGAAATTCATTGGTAGAAACACTGAGAGTTCCTAAAGAGATAGGTCCTTAGTTGTAGTTTCTTTAACTGAGACCTTCCTGACTCAGTGAATTCCTGCTCTCATATACTAAAGGTAATACTCAATTTCTGAGGAAAAAGAAATTTTCACTGAATTTTTAAAATTATTAGTATAAATGTTTACCACAGAAAATAATTTACTGGCTTCCTCAGTTTCCTTCCATTAAAACCCTCTTACACCACACTGTTCTTTATGCATATACGAGAGAAAATCCAAGGTCAAAAGCACAGGGGCTCTGCTGATGCTGTTGAGCCCCATCCTTTCAGTGGGGCAGGGAGGACCTGTGCTGCCCCAGGAGCTCAGCACAACCTCCCGGAAAGCCCAGCTGCTGCTGCACTGCTCATGGGTGCCATCCCTGCCCACCCAGGACAGGCCTTAGAAGAAACCTTCCTCCGCAGCAACTGCTTATGTGCCCTGTGCAGCAGAGCTACCACTGCTGTGGGGGCAGCCCAATAGCCCGTGGGAACAGCCCAACAGCCCACAGCCCTCACACAGGCAAGGCTCCCACAGAGAGGAGTACAGTTGCATGTCCCTAACACTATCACACCAGCCTTGCTTTTTGGGGACAGGCTCTGCTGCATGGACAGCATTTGGTTTTTTGTTGTAAAAGAAGATAAATGGCTCAAATACTGATCTTCCCAAAAGCTGACTATAATAACAGTAAGTCAAATAAATCAGCATGTTTTGGTATTCTATAGAAGGTATGTTGAACTATCAAAGTATGATAGCTGTCTCTCTTCCAAGGATAGCCAGGTGATCATTCTTCCCATATCTCAGGGTAGATAGGAGTATTCATATCCTTATACTTGTGCTACATATGTAGGATTTAAAGTCCTTTTTGAAATGCTGAAATCAAAGTTCTAATCAAGCTGGCCCAACCCTCAGAGCTGTTACAGCCAACACTCAATACCACAAACTCAGGGGATTGCCCTTCATTTAGACTGCTTTAAGAAACTTTGGTTCCCGTGTTTTATACTGTCCTGGCTTTCCCCCACTTGCAGCCTTGGCACAGGAAGCAGACAGAGCAGTGCAGGTTGTAGCACACTCCTGTTCTTGACTACCTGAACACAAAGCAAAAGTGCAGGAGCCTGCAGCAAGGACCTGCCCTGAAAGAGGCTGGTGTGGAATTTGTCACCAGATATAGGAAGCTGAAGAAATTTGGCTTTTACCCTGCAGGAGCTCTGACACAAAATATCTAGAAAAAGGGCAATTTAGTAAATACGTAGTAGATCAAATTTAGTAGATCATCATTTTCATCATTATTTTCATCTCTTGAATCCTAGCAATAGCTTTAGCGGGTTGGAAAGAGCTTCTCTGAGAAACAAAGAGGTTTTGTCCTGCAGAGCCACAGCCCAGTGAGGGCAGACTCCTCCTATTACCCCTGGGCATCAGGTCCAGGCCACCCCACGTCATTGCTTCCCCTGCCTCTGTGTCCAGAGGACCTGCTGCAAAACGCTTCACCAATTTACACAGGCATCAATGTCTGCCTGAGTCCGGACATCCAAGAAGCACCAGGAATAGAAAAGATTGTGATATTTAAATTTGTTAATAAACTAAACAATACATGGCAGCAATGTTCCAGCTGGAAAATAAAACTCACAGCTGGAGCAGGCTGGCAGGGCGGTGGCTCTGTGCACATTGCAGCCCCCACTCTGCCAAGAGGGAACTCGGCAGCTGCCCGTGCATCTCCTACAGGGGCCAGCTCCGACCTGCCCATGGCAGAAGGGATGCTACAGCCTGGCCACTGCCCTGCCACCACAGCAAGCCATAGCTGCCCCTGCTTTCACCGATTGCATTATTTCCAGCCATTAAAGCATTGCTCTGCAGGCCTGGATTTTCATGTCAGGATCTATGAGAAACAGAATAACCCTACAAACCAAATTATATGGCTGAGACTCTCTTTTCCCACCTGGACAGAAACAATTTTGACCCCTGCCTGTTCTTTAACAGTCTTTTCCTACAGGTGAGTGACCTACAGTGCTCCACCTCAATTAACCACGGCCCTTGGCTTTTGGTAGCAATTTGTTTTCAATTACTTCCTTCAGACAAATCTGAATGATGACCACCACTTTTTTCACATTTCTTTCTGATGTCAAGTGTGTACCAAAGTGTTCACAGTGCATCAACTGTTGATCCTGCAAAATTCCAAAGAAAGCATCAGTTGCCCCTGGTGAAGACCAGGGCAGCCCAAACCCTCAGTTGCTTTGCCTGGCACAGATCTGTGGGCACAGACAGAAATTTCTCCCCAGTGAGGAGTGCAAGTCTGAGTGCTGCAGGGCCACCCTGGTTTCAACAACTCTGCTAAGTCAAGGGGAAGCACACACCTACTAACAAAATCACTCCTACCTGGAGCTGCAGTGCCGGCAGGGGAGTGGCAGCAGCTCCTGTCCCAGCTGAGCCCTGTGAGATGCCGACTGCTCCCAAAGCAAAGGGTACCCACAGGGGCTTAGGCACATGCTGCCCTCCCTCGCTGGAGCCTCTCCACCACTTTAAAGCAGCAGGAACCAGACTTAAGTTGATCCTAGTAGTAGATCTTCCAAGGTAGGGAAGTGAAGAAAGGAAGCTGCAGCACACTATGGATCCTAATTGCATTTGCTCTGCAGGCTCCGAAATGTCAGTCAAACAAATACGCCATCGCCTTTACTGCTCTGCAGTTGCCATTTACTATTTTACTGGGAAATTGTCCAGGAAAAGGATACTACCTAGAAGGGACTATTATGCCAGCACTGGAAACCAGCAATATTTCTGAACGACCCCATGGGCCCATTATCTATTCCTACACTGCAGAAAGACAAGAAGAGCCTGAGTGAGCCAATTTGTGTTTGTGGTAGCAATTGCAGCAGTAGTGGGGATGGAGACAGCCCAGGACCCAGCGGGCACATCTGAACTGGTGCACGCTCTGGAGCTGTAACAATGCACACCAGAGCAGAGCATGATTCAGTGAGTGAAGGGGGAAAATACCATCTTAAAATGAGCTCTTTTATGAGCCCGAGTTTCGTTACACAACTTTATCAGAGTTTATGAGGACTGGAGAAAGCAATATGAAAAGACACTCTCCAGCACACTGTCTAGCTCTATCAGTCCACAGAACCAGTAATTCCCAAGAGATGCAGATAATATGGGGCAGACAGGTTTGCTGAAGTGACAAAGCCACCTTCCTCAGGAAGAGCCCCACTAAAACCGTCTTTTTTTCTCTAGCAATGACTCTGCCCTAAAAGAGTTCAATTCCTGCTGTAGGAAGCTCCTTAATACCTAATTACCACTTTGCTACACTAGGAGTGAGCATTTGAGATACTTAACATGCAGAATCATTCTGAATCACCCCATTTTACCACTACTTTATTTTTCCTCCCAGTCAAAAAAGCATACCAAAGGGTGCATAGCCCACTTCTCCTTACCGTAATTCCCCTCCTGCTCCCACAAAGAAACATGGATTTAACTGGACCACATTCCATTGACTTATAAGCAAAGTTCAGTCTGTCTGTCCTTCCCTCTCTTCAGGTAGCAAGTACCAGCAGGCAGTTTCAGACCTACTTACAGATTCAACCTCTGTGAGCAGGGGGAACACAGTTGTGTCTGGCACAGGTGAGGAGGAAACCATCCATTACCAAAAAGGGCAACTCCCATCCCCTAGAAATCAGCTTAGCAAGGAAAACCTGTGCCCTTCACAAAAGCTCCTGGCTCACTGTTTCCAGAACATTCAGCAACCATTTTATTTCTGACATTTTTTGGTTTTCGTCACATTGTCTCTGGCACTGAAAGCACTGGTGGATCAATGCTCGGTTCAAACTCTTGTGTCAGGGCATCCTGTCCGTGGCTCTGGGGCAGCACTAACAAGGCCACACAGTGCCCTGCAAGCAGGGGAGAGGGTCGAGGTCACCACCAGCAGTGCTGTGGCTGCTGTCTGGCACAGAGATGGCTGTTCTGCTGCAGTCTGGGGTCTGTGTTCACTGCGTCACAGGGATGTACACCATGAGCATTTCGTCCCTATCTTATTCTTTGCACACTTTGTTGGCTCTAGGTATGGTTCCTGCAGACATACCAGCTGGATAAATATTAACTTTTTTCATTTTAAACAAAAAAAATGCCATGGTTTATCACCCCTTTCTCCCTCTCTGTCTCTCAAAGGGGATTTCTTAAATTCACACGGGTTACGCATTTTCATTAACCACATTGGCTGCAGTAAACTATGTTTGAATCATCATTTAGAGAAGTGAAGATTTAATTTCATGGTGGAATTAAGGTTGACATTTCCTTTTTATTTATACTACACCAAGGATTAATAAGGTTACTATAACCTTAATCTTTGATAGCTCAACAATAGAATACTCTGGGATTACTGCAAAAGCTGGATTTTAACTCTTTTAATCCCATTATTGTTGATAACCTTATCAACACTGTGCCCCACCATAAAGGTGGAGTAGAAGAATATCAGACTCTACAATTCCTTACCATGGAGCAGCACTCATAGTTTGAGCAGAAGAGCCAGAGACAGTTGCTTGGTTGATGCCTGCAGTGAGGTTCACAGTTTGCAGTAGGGCTGCAATGCTGCTTTTAAACTCCTTCTCAGAGATCTTTGCCAAGAAAAACAGTGGTCCAGTGGCATATGTTGGCAGAGCAATGCAAGGTTGCTCTAATTCCCTTACTTTGTTTTTCCCTCCTCCCATGCGACAACTACTCCAAGAATCAGACTGCCAGTCTGGCAAGTTGAGATCCAGAAACTTATTGCTAATTACCATGTTTACAATTCCCAACCTGTCTGTTGGTGCCAACAATCAAACTGCATCCTCTTGAGTGCACCAAAAGACACTTGCTGGCAGTAGTTTCCTAAGGTTCCAGGCTGGCTACATTAATTACTGTTAACTTAATTTTTGTGTATTGAGAAGCAGCTTTAATTAGTGATTCCATGGTTTAAAATCATCCTTTTATGAGTTTCAAGGAATAGCAGTTAGACTTACAGACTACTTACCAACCTACATACCTTTTATTTGGAAACACAAGTGATAGTAAACTTATATGTGGCCTGACAAATAAAATAGGCAGAGGTTTAATAAAAATCTCACCAGGAAATGAAAGGTTATGCCTTCCCTTTGAAGTAAAATAAGCAGCTCTAAAAAGGCAGGTTGGCTATTTTTTATCATCCTCAGTAAAGATTTGACTGGACAGAATAAACCACATTCTGATGGTATATCACTGAATCAAAGCATTTAATGAATTAAAAGAAAAAGCATGTATTTTATGAGCTCGGTGAAAGAGAGCCCAAACTCAAATAACTGCAGGGCAGAGACTGAGCAGAGAGGATCCAGTTTGTGCCCTGCAAGTTCTAGCCCAAAGCTCCTGAAGGCCATCTGACTACTCGGTTGGGATCCCCTTTAGCAGAGCACATGCTTCTGCCCCACCAGAGTCAGTAAAGCGTGCTGTGCCCTAAGAGCAGCACCTCTCAGCAGCCAGGCTGGGCTGTGAGGGCTTGGGGACTTGCATGGACACCCCAGGAATCAGCAGGAATAGGGCTGTGCAGGACACAGGAACAGGCTACCCACTAATGTTCTGTGCCCAGGGCCCATGCCTGCAGAGCCCACCCAACGCCCACAATTCCCCCCCACAGCAATACATTTCTAACCTGAATTTTCTAACCTGGTAATGACATTCAATCTCCATGATGCCATGGGCTTAAAAAGTTGGTCAGGAACTGATGAAAACTGCACTACACTGCCTCTCTGAGGACGTTTTATTCTATTCTCTGGTGGGTGTGGAACTACAAGATAGAGAGCAGAGCTAGCCGGAGCTCTGCCCCCCGACATGGCTTGGTGCTCCTGGGGTGGACAGGCTGATGGCAGCAGCACAAGGCTGATCTCAGTCAGTGCTGCTGGACACTGGCAGCATGCAGATGCCAGTGCAGCCAATGTCTGTGCTGTGTTGAGGCTGCAATCAGTCTCATCTCTTAGGGGCAGTTTGGATAGTCACAACCATCTGAAAATTGACAGTTTTAAGAGGAACCCTGCATTCAGGCTAGAGCAGCATCATGCCCATATCTGCTTATAATACTACTAGTCCTTCCTGGTTGTGTAAGGATAGATCTAGGAGTCTGATTTTAGGCCCCTTTTCCTAAAACTTGGTCTAACTAATGCAATAAAAGGCCACGGTAAGACTCTTTTCTGCCCTGTAGCAGATTCTCCACTGTCTCACTGAGTCCCAAGACACCAGCTAACTTCCCTGCTCTCCTGGCAGCATTTCTCAGGCTGCCAGCCACTGCCAGGCTTCTGCTCTTGCACTGCAGTCCTGCTCTGTGAGGTTGCAGTGGGCTACTGAGAAAAAGATAACCCAGGGCAAAACTCAAGCGTATGAAAGGTAGCATGGGGTATGGGAAGTAGAGCCAAAGCAGGGGGTAAACCAAGGAGACAGACACTAAAATCAAAAGGCATTTTCACTTACAAGGGGAAGAAGGGAAGGAAAATGAATCAGTGCTCCCAGAGGAGGCAGTCTGGATCTGCTCTGGTCCTAAAGCAAGAGAGTGGAAACAGGCATTTCAGAGCAGTTCATTTACACAAGGTGTACTGAGTATGCCAAGCAAACTACCAAAGGAGGCAATAGACCTGCATCTCAGAGAATGCTCTAAAAGGAGTTACATTACCACTTTAGAGCAAAGAGAGATTCGAGGCTCCGAAAGCAAGCAGCAGTATACAGGGACACATGGATGCAGCTCACGTGGCCCATGCTATTGATGTGTTTTCCCTCTCCAACCCAGCCTGCTCAGCTTGATTACTTACATCTTGTATAACTTATAGACATGGTCTAAAGAGAGTCGGCCAATTTCCACTCAATTTATAATTTAGCAAGCAGAGAAGCTTGATTCTTCTAATTTACATAAAACATACATAAAACTGAAAACAAAACAGCTTTAGAGCATATGGGTAAAGTACACGAGAGCCACAGAGAAAAGGAGTGGAAAAGGACATGGAGCAAAAGCACTGTCTGGATAATGCTTTGCTAAGGGGTTCTGAGTACTTTTTTTATGATAAATATCTAACAGACAAGCAAGTTTTCATTGTCACAGGCACGTATTGGCACTGCACCTCAGCCTCGTCACTGGACGATCAGCCACACAGGCCTATCTAACCAATGCCATAATGCTGGATGGGGCTTTTCTATTGCATCTTGCTTTTTCTAGGTAAAGAAATATTGTTGAAAACCTTCTGCAACAAGATGGCAAGAAGGCATCAGTGTGCATCAAGATAGTACTGCCTTCCTCCCATTCCCTCTTGGACACCTCCTTTTCTCATAAAGAAAGGTAGGGAGCTCCCACCCTGCAGATAAACCCGAGTCAGCATCCTACTTCCCAGGGGAGCAGCAACGGGGCTGCACTCTTATGACCATTTCTCCTGCATTCCTCCTCTGTGACTGCCGGGTTCTGGCAGAGCCAGTGAAGGCATTCTCTGAGAGGAGACACCACTTGCCAAGTGCCAAGTGCCTCCTGTGGCACGGTAGGCTCCAAATCATGCCTCTCTTCTCCGTTTGCCTGAGGATTCATCCTGGGTACTAACAATAGACTCCATGGAGGCTGGTGGAGCCCAGGCTGCCTCACCAGCTTCTGTCTGAATTCAGTCATTTCCAGTAAGCAATGTATAAATAGATGCTGCCTCATTATTGGTGTATATTGTGCAAAGGGTTTAGCCGGGGATGAAGCTTGCCTGCTTTCCTTTTATGGTTGAAAAGCGGGATCCCAGATCCTTTATGTGAGATCTCTGCACATGTCAATCAAACCACACCAGGAGGAAGATTTTGTGCTCTTAGGTCCATGATAAATGGCAGCCACATGGCCATGGGAAACGTCCATGGGAACAAAATGCAGCTCTGCACGTGTGCATGTGTGTATAGGCACATTTACACATATGCACACCAAAACCAAATGAAAACAGAATTCTAATGGTTGCAGCCTAATTTTTCTATTCCTTTTCAAACCCCAAGACAAGGTTGTAGTCTGGGCTACTCTGACACAAATCTCATTTGATATTGTTACAAACCACTGATTTAAACTAATGGAAGAGTTAGCCCCTGATTTAAAAAGCAGACCTTAGCGGCTGGCCCAAGGCCTGAGCCTCTCAGCCCTGCAGTCTGGCTGTAGCGCATTGATACTTGCCAGCTAAATTTGATCATGAACTCTAAGTGAAGGCAAGTTATCGATATTTCAGAAAGCCATTCCTCACACTTCTGAGCAGCAAACGGCCCATCACTAAGAAGGCCAAACCCTTGTCAGCATGAGCTGACTTATATGAAATGAAACACTGACCTCACTGCTAGCTCCAGAGTTAATCTCGGAAGAGAGATTTTATTAGAGAAAGCAGAGCTATTGTTCTGAGCCTCCTACAGGGCACATATTTAAGTTTTGCATCCAGGAAATGTGAAATACTTTAAATAGAGTCGTATTTGGCAAAAATTAAAACCTAAAAACTACAGTATTTTATGGGGGATTTATGTATTTTGGGTTTTTTTCTTGGATTTCGGATCACGCCCATTCAGCATCCTTTTCCTTGCTGGAGTTATTCCTCCCTCTTTACCAGGGAGGCTTGAGCAGAGCAAGCAGCACCGCCTCACTGCAGCTCCAGCCAAGGAAAATTAACATGTTTATGTTCATTTCTAACTGAGAGTCTGGACTGGTCCTGCCTTCTCCACTGGTAAGAATTTACATACACAGAAATGACAAGCACCTGAACAAGGAGAGCAAAAGGGAGTGGGGTTTGCCTCTTGATTCCTAGACCAGGACTTGCAGATCCAGTTTTCACCAAGAGGCTCTATGATCAGCTGAAGGCAAATGGATTTATGTTATCACATGTGCAATAGACACACGATGTGACAGCCACATGATGTCATAACACAACAAAGGACAGTGAGTAGTCAAAAAGAAAAGGATTGTACTGAAACCTTGAAAGGAATTATGTTATTGTCTTCTGCTTAACTCATACCTTGGCAAACACACAGGGAAAAAAGTCTCTTTCTTAAAAACAGAAAATTCACCACCTCTTAAATAGAGGTCTGAGAAAGCTTCCACTGCTCTCCTCTATGGTTCAATTACTAGAGGATTAAATGATCCTGACATTTCTAAAATAAAAGATGTTGAGAAAGAAAATCCCTTCCATCCCATCAAATCTTTTGCACGTATCATAAACAGAAAGGGAGACAGCCAGGCAGTGGAGGAAAGTAGGGGAACAAGAAACATTTTTTCCCATAGTGGTCATAACAACCAGGCCATCAAGATTGTAATAACTGTTGCTTTGGTAAAACAGCAAGTAATAACCTGTATAACTTTGGATTTCAGGATAATATTTTATGGTAACTTAATGAAGAGGTAATACAAAATACATTTAGTGGAGTAACCAGGTAAGTTATCTCCTGAAGAATGATTGTTAAAGGATGAGTTTCCAGATCGTGTGAAGCATTAGTGTGAAGCCTCCATGCTCTTACTATTTTCCACCTAACTTAAAGAAATAAAATAAATCCTTTATAATGCATTAATTAGTGATGTCTTTTTATTTGAATTTTCTATCATCTTCTTGTTAGGAGAATGTGAAGACTTGCAAAGCTATTACTATCAGATAATCTAAAAGTAGTCATATGAAACCTATATTATCTATGTAAATGCCTCTGTAAGATGCAGCAAGATGGTTCTTTTTTTGGTAACAGGCTGCACAATTGCATGCTGTACTGTTCTGGTTCAGAATGTTCCTCTTTCTCCAATTAGAGAAGACCAGTCCCATGTTGATCACTTTATCTTTGATTGCCAGTGATTTAAAAGATAGGCCTGACCTGTGACCATTAATAAACTTTGTGATGTTGTCCTGATTTAGTAAGAGAACCGCTAATTTTCCAAGCAAGGTTATGAATCAGCAATTGTTAATATCAAAGAAAAGACAGGTATATTTTTCCAACATTTCATGCCTAATGAAATTATGTGGAAGGGGTGTACACTGCATACAACTCAGATGAGCTGATATAGAATACAGTGGTGACAATTGCCCCTGAAACAGATAAAATTGACTTAATCTGAAATACTCTAGAGTAGCTTGGAAAGTTTAGGTTACCTCTTATGGGCCTACCTCTTTGTTTCAGTGGTATAAAGTGTTGGGGAATTATCAGAGTCATTTCAGCTCCATGGAGGTGTGTCACAGCAGTCAGAGGCAAAAAGGCCTCCCCAGGTGGCTCTCCAGCCCTCATAGGGTGACTACTGCCTGCCATGTCTTGTCTAAGGTAATTTTATATCTCTAAGGCAAGGGCTTTCCTGCCTGGACATTGTTCCATTACTTTATATCATTCTCACTGGATAGAGGGGTATTGGGTTCACTGAAAGGGAATGTTTCTTGATAGCCATGCTGCATTTTCTCCATACATAGCTTAAGGTCTGTTTGCACACACCAGGCTACATTGCTTTCCTGTAGACAGGAGAAATTCTGATCCCTCCTGATATCAATGGAAAATTCCCACTGGTTTCTGTAGGAGAACGATTTCAAAAGCATGATGCTCATTTTGTTTATCTATATGGGCATTATTACGTAATTTTGGCTAGGTATGTATATTCATACATTTATATACAAACCCCTGCCCTTCAGCTATATATTCAGGGCTCTTATTTTTCCCATCAATCAGCCCCCTCTAGTTTCTGGAACATTTCACCTAATTTTCTGTTGGCTGCTTTTAACTAAATACTGTTTTTCCAGAAAGCAAACTACCAAACATGTGTGATGTTCCAGCCCTGGTTTCAACACTTCTGGTGCATACTCCGAGCGCCACACTGCGATACCTCCTCGCCTACAGTCCCTGGTGCTTCACCTCTCCTCTACCCTCTGTCTCTGCAAAGCTGGGTCACATCTACCTTCTACCATCACCTCCTAGACTCTTCTCTCTACCTTCCTCAGGATCCTGTCTGTCCTTTGGTGTCAGACTCTTTCCATCACCTCTGTGAATTCTGGCTTGGTTTTTCACTTTTAGACTACTTATTTTTGGCCTGTCATTTAAATTTCTTTTGAGTCATTATTATTATCGAGCCAACTTTTATAAATAGCTCTAAGCATTGCAGGTATGTGATAATCAAGTCCTTTGATTTTTGAGCAATTTGGTTACTAAATGATAGCAATAAAAAGCATGCAATCATCATGGGCGTTAGCCCAGGAAATGTTTCTACCGTTAAAGCTTTCAGGAGGTATATGATGAATCTGGTACAAATTTATGGCTCTTAATAATGAGTGTTATGATTTACTTTTGCAACACTAAACGGTGAGGTGTCATAGCAGCTAAGGGTAATACCTGGGGGAGGTGCTTTTCAGAAAAATAGTAATCTATTAAAAGGAAAAGAAGAAAAAGCCTTTGGTATATATAAAGACATTATTTATTTTTAAAAACGCATAAAAATCCAGTTGTGTACATTACTGCTAGAATGATGTAAAAAGGCAGAGAAAAAGGCTAGTTAGCTTAATCTTACAGTTGCAAAGTATGTGTCTAGCTGTGTGGATGTATAGGTATTACTGTTTTTAATTTCCTCAAGAAAACCCTATGAACACTAGAAGCCACCTCAACTGACATAAAAGACAATAACTTGTTATGGGAAGAAAACTTACACTCCTCTCAAAATCAGATGTAGTCTGAAAAGCAGAAAGCAAGCAGAATTGATCCCGAGGAAAGGCATCTGCGTAACTGTACATATCTACATTCAGCAGTGTGGACATTTATTTTAGGCAAATTTGCAGCAGCAAGAGGAATCATAACACTGGTCATAAATACGCACTGTAACAGCACAGCCCCTGCTGAAGTGAGTGGGTGTTGTGCCTCTCTCAGGTCTGAGAGAATGGGGCTTTTCTACTATGCTGTAGCCTCCCTTCAGAGAGGTGTGTGCATATATATTCATTCCATTCAGAGATATATACATATATAAGGGATGTAGGCTTAAATATTTGCGGAAAGGGCACCTGAAATCAAATGGCAGTCCCCGTCACTTAATTCAGGATACTGCTAAGCAGAGCAGTGCTTCACATTATAGGCAGACCCAGGCAGGGCTGTGACCCTGCCTGCACAGGACAGTAGGGACCAAAGCTACTCTTCCTTCTCCCACTCCTGCCATGGGGCACGATGTACCCATGGTGCTTGGGAGCACAGTCCTTTGGGCAGTTCCCCAGTCCAGGAAGGCCCAAGCAGTCACGGAGCAGGGTGGGGAACAGCCAGCATCATGGGTGGCTGCAGGGGGGCCCTGCACGCTCCCAGCTCTGCACCAGGACAGCTGCCACACCAGTCTCTGCTCTGCCATCAATCGGCTATGCTGCTTTGTGGGCTCTGGCATGACAAAGACTTACCTATGGCAGCAGCCTTTCAGGCTACTCCAGTGGATAAAATTACCCAGAGATATAAATCTTCATAGGATTATGGCCTTTAAAGACATGGCTAAGTTCAAGTAAGTATTTTTGGGCTAATTCTTTATTTAATTTTCTACTAGGATGCAGATTACAAAAGCCATTTTAGAACAGAAATTCAGTATTCTGAATTAATTAGATATGCACTCACCAAAATAGCTGTTAACGCAAGGTTGGTGCTGCCACAAACCTCATTCTAAAGTGTCCTAGAAAATGCTCATACTGGTACAATTAAAACCCCTTATTTATAAAGTAATTTCTTATTATGTTCCACTATAAACTTTTAGTGTAATTTTTGCTGTTAATAAAATATCATTAGACTATTAGAGGCAGGGGGTTTTTAGAGTCATTTTTTAGCACACAGGATTTGCAATTTCTAAAGCAAAAAAGTAGGAAGTGTAGCATTGCAAAAAATCCCTTTCACTAGGGGTCTAATCTTTCCCGCAGTGAAATCAATTGGGGCTTTGTTATTGCATTGAATGTTAGGATTTGGCCCCAAATATTTTGAATTTAGCATGAACAACCTTGGTCCCCTGAACAAGTCCCATGGAATCTATGTGCATTCCCAGGATCATCCCTGCAATATGAATAGTCACTTCGTAGAGATCTGTTGTTCAGAAATATGCATATGTGACAGACCCCAGGAACTGCTAATGAACAGGGGGAGCCCCTCTGAGATCATGCTATTGGGAAGCATCATTCCAAGAGCCCTTATACAATATTTTAGAATAATTTTGGTAAGCATATCCAGTATTTCTCACATCAAATCTTACACTTTAACTCTTTTAACCCACATAGCATAGCAATTCCCAAAAGATTTTAGTGAAGAGAAGTCTACAATCATCAAAATGTTAATTTTGACAATGACAAAGAGTACATGCATTAAAAATGCATCAGCCCTGTCATTAAGGCATTATTCAGCAAAACCATCTCATCATGCTAAACAGAAAGCAACTAGAAGAAAGCAAGTAAAAGAACCATTTGCTAAGCTTGTATTTATGGGTACCAGTCCAATCCATACTGCACAAGGTACTCAACCAAGCAAAGAGCAAACAAATCCTTTACGTGATGAAATGGGAACTCCTAATAATACTCTAAGCATGACTCAAGGGAAAATGTCAACTAAAAGCTCAGATCAGAGGAAGGTTTGTAATACAAACCTGGATGTTTAAATAGTATTTCCATCGCTGTTCCTGCAGCACTTGTGAATGTGGCTGTGTTATGGTGCTGAACTGACTATGATTTAGCAGCTGATCATGTCTTTTTAAAGCATAATTTAACATTGTTTCTGAGGCTGTTGAACATACTAAACTAGAAGAAAAAATCTGCTTTCAAGTGGTATTAGAGGAACACAAGGATCAGAGTGCTAGCATCAAAGATGTGTCTAAAGAATAACAGATCCACACGTCTGTATAACAAGTAGCGCTCCACTTGCTACTGAAGGCAACAGAGTAAGATTCCTTTGGCAGTTGTTGGAAATAATTAGGCAGAACATAGACAGCCTTTCAATCTCTAAGCAAGAGACAGAGAGAAAGACATTCTCCATCATCCCGCCTCGCACTCACAACTTAACAATCATCCCATGTCTATCTTGTCCACATTAAAAATCGTTCCTAGCCTCATCATAGCTGAGCTTCAGGAAGGATCCATTCAAAAAGGCTGTCTCATCACAGTAATCCTGGTCTTGCTTTAAAATGGCTTCTGATCTAATTCATTTAAGGTTGAAATCTGGTCTCACAATTGTGACTACGTGGCAAAAAGACCTGGAATCATCTGGGGATGTGGAGAGGTCTCAAATGGGAAAACAGGGATGATCACACCCTGCTCCTTTTCTCTGCCACTCTTGTGAGCAGAGGAGCAGGGGAAAAAAGACTGGAACTATGAATGCTATGCCTAAGATTTTCCTAAGCACAGCATTTAAAGACTAACCAGGCTTTAATCAAAGCCTGTACCCTGCTGCTGAGATTGGAGAGAGGATCAGATGAACCTCTTCTATGTTAAAGCAATGGGGCATGTCTTGGCCAACAAGGAGAATCAACACTCCGTTGGTCGTGTTTCCCACCAGTCCAGCTGCAAACAGCATTTAGGGAGTCCTGAGCTCTTGGGAGAGGGGCAAATAAGCCACCACCTGAGCTGCAAAGGGCAAAACAATCCCTCAGCTCTTGCCCTGAACATGTGTCTCAACCTGGGGTCTCAGAAGCTGACAAACTCTACATTGGGCTGGGACTGGTGTGAAGTGGATTCTTAATCCTGCCTTCACTAGGTTGGTACTGCAGGGTGAGGACAAGGAGGTAAGAGGATCATGACTCTCCCTGAAAGCAACCGTCCACAACCTCTTTGCCAGTAGCGGCCCCGCTGGGTGGCCGAACACCTCGGCAGCCGGGGAAGAGGGACTTCCCCGGGAGTCGGGCGCTCTGCGGCCGTGCGAGGTGCCCCTCGCCTCGCTAGCACGGGTGCTCGGCACCTCCCCGCCCGCGAGCACCCCCAGCCCCGCATGACTCGGCTGCTGTGGGTGCGGGGGCCGTGGCCACCGAGGGGGCGGCAGCCCAGGCTCTGCCAGCGTGTGCGGGCAGAGCCGGGGCCGCCCCGGCCCTGCGGGCACTCCGTGTCCCGCGGGGAGGGACCCCCGGCAGGCGAGCAGCGAGGGGCTGCGGGTGGCGTGGGCTGGGAGCTGCCGGCCGAGTGCCGGGACACGGGGGCTGTCCGGACGGGCAGAGCGCCTTCCCCCCGCCTGCCGAGCGCTGCCCGCGGATGCGCTCCCCGCAGCGGCCGTGGCTCTCCCGGTCACCCCCTACCCGCGGAGCTTGGCCAGCCTTTACCCGGCCCTCCCCAGCCCTGGGCTTGCTCCCACGCACACACACACACAGCGGGCACCCCCTTCCTCAAGAGAGGGCGTCCGAGCTCCCCCCGCCCGGGCATAGACACAGAGTGAAACATTGCAAAGCGTAGGAAAAGATGGAAAAGGTGCTACCTTGGCAACTAGAGGAGGTGAGGAGCCAGCTGGTGGGCTGGGGGCGGTCGCGCTGCCTGCCTGCCTGCCCGCCGCCGGTACTCTCCTCGACTACGCGTATTCTTAAGCAATAACAACGTAATCCGTATTATCCACCCAAGAATACCCGTCACCGAAGAGAGTCAGAAAGCTGCTGCTGTTGTTGGTGGTGGTGGTGGAAGTGCGGCACTGGGACAATAAATCCATAACTATAATTCGCCTCTAGAAGAAGGAGAATCCACAAGGGTTGCCGAGCGATCTTGTCCCATATCCAATGGACGCTGAACCTTTCCATCCTGCGGAGGCAAAAGAGAGGAGCAGGCGTTTAATACACACGCGTACAGTCCCTCTGCTCTCCTGCTGCCTTACTGGAGCGGGCAGGGGCTTGCAGGCGAGGTGAAAGGAAATAAATCAAAGTAAGGCTGAGTTTACCTGGTGATTGCCTGGTTTCTTCCTCTGTGCTTCTCTGGTATCCTATTCCCTAGCTGTATGCTCCATCAATTCTCTCTGGGAGCTTGCAAGAGATGTCATACGCAGCAACAGATTCCTGTAAAAGAGATGCACGGTTAAGCACACAAATATTACAAATCTGTTTGCATAGGTGGGCTTGGGAGAGCTCCGATAAAGCAGCAGACACGCCTGAGAGACTTTTCATCTGGGCTTTGGAAATGCATTTTACAAGTCCTGACTCACACTGACTCGATGTGCTACCAAGAGGAGGGAGGGCGGAAAGGAAAGCGATGGAGGGGGGGGGGAAATCAAAGAAACAAATAGCAAAGCCTCCTATCTCAACAGAGGCACTCCTCTGTCAGGCCTTCCTGGTGCCATGAAAATATAAGGCGAAAAAGGCTTCAAAGTACAAATTCACCGCGCTCCGCTTCCCGCGTGTGCCCGAACGGCGGAGCCCGGCGGCTGCGAGGCGCCGAGCCGGGCAGGCGGCTCCGCGGCGGCGGGCGGGGGCGGCGGCAGCGCACCTCCGCCCTGACACCTGCCGCCGCCCTGCCAAGGTTTGCAAAAGGCGAGCCGAGGGGGGGGGGGAAATAACAATAATAAAAGAAGTTATTTCCGAATGGCGCCTGCGGCTCTGCCTGTCACCCGGAGCAGTTCCCTTATCAGCAGCGCTCGTGCCTGGGGGAGGCGGGAGGGGGAAGCTTTGTCTGATGATCTGCCGCGGTGATAATAAACGTTTATTGTTCGCCAACTAAATAGAAAGGATCCCTGCAACGTCATGGCACAGCACACTTCGCCTAGCGCTTAGGAACTTCTCCGTGCTGTTTCACCCCAGTTCCTGATGCTAAGGACAGCTTCCGTGTGAGTGACGGGGAGGGGGAAAAAAAACTAGCACCGCACCGTCCGAACCCGCACAGAGCAGGGGTACTTCGCACTTCTTCAGACATGAGTAATTATGCAGCACATACAGCTCTCATTATCCACTGCATTCGGTGACTGACCAGCTTGTTGATTAGATTCCAATTGAAATTAATACAAGATGCTTGCTTTTCCTACAGATTTCTTCCTTAACATGAGCCCTTGCCTCCCTTGACGTATTACTACTATGCTTCGTACGAAAACATACGAGAAGACAGCATTTGTTTTGTAACAGACTCTGGCTTGAATTTGAAAGACAAGGGAAAAACAAAGATAGAAAGAGAACAAAAAATACTTTGATAGCTACATTACCTTAAATAATTAAAAAAAATATTTCCAACACACTCTCCTCTATTTTAATCTCATTGTAGGTGTAATTTCCTGTATTCCTCTAACACAGCAAGCTCTCAAGTCGTATTCTAAATGGCAGCTGGAAAGTAAATAACAAACACTGTAATTTTTCCCCGCTGTGAAACTGAAGGCTCTAACCCCATTAGCTGGCGTTGGAACTCAAATAACTGATGCAGTGGGTTTCCTTCAACTTGAACAAAAGCCGTTTGAAAAAGTGAAATGCACCGAGTCGCGGCAAAAACATTCTACAGTGATACACCTAGACAGATATTCTCCGAAATTTGGAGGCGCTCCATAAATGCATCGAGAATTGGGCAGAAATCCAGACTTTGGGTGTTTGTTGGGTTTTTTAAAAATATTAAAGGATGAGATTCTAGGGGGAAAGCAGCACCGCGCGGCGCCAAAGCTGTTCTCGCCGTGTCCATCTGACACTGCCCTTCCCCTCCCCGAACAGCAGCCCCCCCACTACTCCCCGCCAACACAGTGCCTGCCGAAACTTCTGCCCAGCCCCGCCGCCGCCCCGCACCGGCCCGGCCCGCCGCACCCCAGCCCGCCGGGCCCTTCAGCACCCGCGACGAGGACAGCGCCGAGTGCCGGCCGCGCTGCCCGGCCCCCCGCGCCGCTCCCGCCGCCGGGCCCCGCCGGCCCCCGAGCCCCTGCCTGGCCCGGCCCCGGCGCTCCCGGCCGGCCGCCGCCGGGATCCAGGGGAGCGAGCCCCGCCGCGCTACCCGCCTCGCACCTTCTCCGCGGCGTGCGGGAGGTGCCCGTGGCGGCGCGCCGCGGCACTAAATACCTTTGTTCACCGGCTCCGGAAAGCCATGTTTATCGGCGCTGCCGCCCCGCTCCCCGCCGAAAGAGCCCGGGTGCCAGAGCCCCAGCCCGGCAGGGCCAGGGAAGGGCCCCGGGGGGCACCTCCGCCTCCTCTGCCGTGCCCGCGGAGAGGGACACACACAGAAGGGAGAGGAACGGATGGAGGGAATTAAACAATTAAGCTACCAGGAGCGGAGCTCTGAGCAGAGCTAGGGTTTGCCACGAAAAGCAAATTTCAGAAGGGGGAATATTGATCCCATCCGTCAATAGAGAGGTGCGATGTCTTTCCGTGCGAGAAATTGTTCTGAATTAGGGGGCTCGCTGGTGAAAGGGGAGGCAGCACAGAAGAAAAAAAAAAAAAAAGAAAAAAATGAAAGGAGGAAGGAAGAAAATATTCATGCCCGCTAACAGGGAGCCTCTTTTTAAAAATCGCTGGAAGCTCGCTCCTTTTGCCACCTACCCGAATAACCACCAGAAATCCACCTCTATTGAAGCGCTTACCCTTTAAATCCAGGTTTCGAGCAGAACTCCAACTGTGTGTAAAACCAGGGAGTCATCTGATGTGTGATGGGGAATGGGCTCTGGGCAGCAGAAAGCAGCTTTCTCTCCTGGTGCCGGATTACCATGTTAACAAACCCCATGAAGGGACCCCGGCGCCTCTGGCTGGCCATGTCTCGTTGCTTTCACACATCGGCGGCTGCTCTTGCTTCCCATGTCCCCGGCGATCGCCTCTCAGATGAATGTGGGCTTCCAGAAAAGGAGTCGGGGGGGAGAGGAGGAAAAAAAAAATCGCCTAATGCAATCAAATCGATCTGATCTACACCATCTGTCGCCTGCCACTACACACAAGCGTTAAAATAGGAAAACGGGAGACACTGACAGCTCAGGAAGGTTGTTCTGCAGAGTTCATTTTTAGCAGAGCATAATTGGGTATGGACAGCATACAGTTACCAAAGCTGCTGTTAACCATCCAGTAGAGGATCCCAAACATGCTAATGGTGGATTAATTGAGGAAGATCTGACGTGCAAGCTTCATAGTCTCTTATTCATGACTTCCCAACGGGAAAGGACCAATGCCGTGTGGGACTATGGTAACACAGAGTCAAAGAGCTGCTAAGAAAATGGCTCTGTGTTCATAGCACCTCTCTCTGATAACAAACATATGTCGACCAGAACCGTTTAGCAGGATGGGGGAAATGAAATTTTCTTAGCCGAGGTTAGCAATTCCCATCACTTGCACTTAAAGACAAGTGAAAAATGGACTGCGGGTCTAAGGCGCTTTCGAGTGCTGGTCTCGGGCTTTGCAGCTAGTGAAAGCAGACGGCTCCTGCTCAGACGGGGGGTTAAACCCCAAATCTCTTACTTCTTACTGTGACCAAAGTGCATCCTTAGCAAAGCTCTAAACAAGCAGCTCTGCTAATTTCATCAGGAATGACGCAAGGTCGTTTTAATGCCAGGAACCCTTTTGACTTTTTCCAGCGGGAATGGCTTTTGGGCAAGACATTTCCGATCACTGATATTTGACATAATCTCAGATAAATATGATTTGGGGGGGGGGGGGGGGGGGTAAGGGAGGAAGGAAGGGGCGGTGAGTTGGGATGATATGGAGTATGCATCCAGACCTGCAATCACCCCTGCTGCCAACACTTCAATTTGGTAGCGTTTTCTAGTCTTTCCTGAATTCTGAGGTTATAGAGACGTATATGTAATTATTAAAGCCACGTACGTACACAAGCCACAGATGCCTGCAGCAGCCGCGTCTACGCACACCGACGGGGAGACAAAGTACGCCCGTCGGAGTGCTCTTTTCCACTCCCTGATGAATCCATAGCCAGCGGGGAGAAGGGCTGCTAGAGCGAGGGGAGGCGAGTTTCCCTCCGCCCGTCCCAGCCCCGGGCGGAGGCGGCAGCTCGGGGCAGGGCCGCGGGGCCGGGGCGGCGGAGTGCGGGGCCGGTCCGGAGCTGTCCGCACGCCCGGTGCTGATCGGCGGCGGCCCGGCCCCGCAGACAATGGCCGGGCACGACGCGCCCCGCACCGCAGCGCAGGGCGCCGGGCGGCTGTCGCCCCCTCCGACAAAGTCTGCGCGGTCGCCCTGACAATCGCTACAACAATTAGGAAAGTTTTCCTTCGTTTCCACCTCGCCTGCCTGTTTAGCAGAGAGTAATAACGCCAGTAATACGAATCCAAGGGGCTGAATGTAAACGTTCTGGTAAACTATTATCGTTTAGGGTAATTCTGGAGTCAACCGCATGATTCTCCTGGAAGTTTGTGTTAATCTCTGTAGAATAAATCTAACAGTTATGAATTAGATTAGCCTTGAAAACTTAGCCTAAAGACAAATCAAACACTTTACCCGATCTTTTGTTTCAATGTACATTAATTAAGCACTGCTGCCTACCTACACAGCATTCTCGGGTCCCGGCCGCGGCGCCGAGCCAGCGAGCCCCGCCGCCTTTGTTGGCATTTGCGTCCAACTATTGCCCTCTGCAGGTCAAATCCAAGCCGCGGCGAGCGCTCCGCCGCCGCCGAGCACTCCGCGAGCAGGAGCCGCCGGGCTCGGCGCCCCCGGACCCCCCTTCGACAGAGATTCAACTTTTGTTGGGTTTGGTTCTTCACCACGATGACACAGGCGTGTTTCTTGAGGAGAGGCTACGAGTGGGGAGAACTGGCACCAGCACTGCTCCGGCCGTCCTCATCCTCTCTTCCAGCTCTGGCCAGGAGAGGAGAAGACAGAACAAGGCGAGATGCCACTCAGAAGACGTGTTGTTTTCTTTTTCCACTTGTCTCCATATGACTACGGCAAGCTTCCTAGGCAAAGCCTGCCCTTCCCCTGGATTTGCAGAAGAACCAGAAAAGAACTCAGCACCAAGCAGGAGCGGGTGCGTGCCGACTCTCAGGATCCCCCGACACTCCCAGTCGGGCAACTTTTCTCCGGGCACAACTTGAGAGTTTGCTTTTCTCACTCCCGGCCCCAGGGAGACCTCCCGGGAAGCCAGGCGGGCTGCAGCAGCGGCTGCCAGGAGAGCAGGAACACTGGGCACCGATGCCACTCTGGCAGCCACGCTCTGCCGTGCCCCGGACGCATCGGCACGGCTTACACGATAACGCACAATATGCCGCACCAGAGGAAAAAAGAAACCAACTAACCCAGTGTTAAGGCGATCTAGTTATTGCTACTTATAATTCAGGAGCTTCAGTGCCCAATAAAAGGTGGCCGCTCCCTTTCTTTTTTCCAGTCACACCTGCACACGGGTTTGTAAGGACCGCTCTATACCCTCTTTCCGCTCCCTACCCGGGGTTAACACTGTGCACATGGGCTTCGGCATCCGCTCCGGAGCCCGGCACCGAGGCCGCCTGCTCCCGTGGGTGCCAGCGCCGCGCTGCCCGCACGCACGGCCGCCTGTCCCCGTTCAAACACGACGGTCTTTCCCCGGAGCTCCGCGCCGCAGCCAGGCGGGGCGGGCGGCTGGGCGGCGTACCCCGGCCCTCCCGCAGGCGGCCCGGGGAGGGGGAGCGGCCGCGCACCCCCCGCTGCCGCAGGGGCGGACACGCGCCCGCCTTTTGTCTCCCGGCAGCCGCCGCCGATCCAGGCCGGGGGCGGCCGCTCCGCCAGCCCCTCTGCCCCGGCCCCGCGCCGCGTTTCCGGCCGGGGCGGCCCGTCCCACACCCGCGGAGGTGCGGCCGCGGCGGGGGCTGCGGGCAGACGGGGCCGGGGGGCGCTGCCGTGGGGCTCCCGGCGCCGGCGGAGCGGGCAGTGCTGGGCCGGGCCGCCCCCCCGGCCACGGCCGCCTGCGCGGGCGGAGCGGGGAGACCCCTGCCGGCCGCGGGCGGGGCTGCAGCTCGAGGCGGGGCCAGGGCCCCTCCGAGCCCCGCCCGGCCCCGCCCGAGCCTCCCCGCCCTGGGGCTGCACAGAGGGGGCGCGGGGTCCACCCTCTGCGCCGAGTCTTCAGCCGTAGGAGGAGAGCACTGTGCGTGTTGCCCAGACACCCGCCCCTGCTCACGCCCACCCCTGCTCTCCCATCCTCAGCGGGCAACACGAGGAGCTCCTCGTTCAATGTTACCTTGAGCTGTTCCAGCTCTGCTCCTACGCTGGCACTTGAGAGCAGGGAAGGATTACCTGGAAATGTTGAATAACACCTCAAGTGCTAGGCTGGTGAGATAATCAGGGAATTGAAGAGGAACTCTGAACGGAGTAGCCTAAAAACCAAAAAACACATGATGCGATTTGAGATACATCGTGACTGGCTACTTTTTTCTCTAGAACATCACCTGATGTTATATCTAGGTGATGTTCTGGCTGTTACCTGGGGACATTGGATTTTCTGGCCTGATAGCTTTCTGGTTGTCTCAGGCATGATACCTAGTTCACAAACTGATTGAGATGCATTTAAAAAGCACTTACTTTCTCTGGCCCTATTATTCCCCTTGGAAAACTGTTCCAGAATCTCATAACTCAGCTTCTTAAGCTTTCAAGCCTATGTTTATTAGGGGCCCGTTTATAGCCATTTCTTGAGATGCCAGTTTTGTCCTTGAACTTAATTAGTTCTGATATTTACTCCCTTCGCAGTGTACTAATATTCCTTCTCATAATTTCTTTTGTTTAAATCAAGCTTTTCGGTCTTGTCTCATAAGATAGAATCTTCATTTCCCTGATTATCCCCATATCCTAGCAACTTATGAAAACTGGGTCATGACCAACACCCAGAAATTACGGTTTTCAAAAGGGTTCATTATTCTATCCATTTTCAGTTTGACTGAGACACAAGTAGGGAGAACGATTAGCATAAGGTCAGACAAACCACAATTCTCCTGACTTCAAGTTCTTTTGTAATCTATCAGGGACATGAGTTCTGAAAGGCTTGTGGTTTATAACTTGGCATTACATCAATGCACATTTATATACCTATATATCATCTTCTGGAGGGGAAGAATGGCCTTGTAGTTAAGAGGGTACATTAGAAATCTGGAGACATGGCTTTGAAATGCCAGGTCTGCCATAGGAAACAGAGGTAACTTGGGCTCATCCTTTAGTCTTTTGCCACATTTCACCAATTTTAAAATGGGGACAACAATCCTCCTTTTCTTGCCTCTTTTTCTTTCTCATATATTTGCTTGCATTGTATGCTCTCAAACCAGGCACCTCCTTTCCAGGTACTCCTGGTGCCTGTGCCTCTGAAGTCCAAATGTGTCTGTGACTGAAACTGCAGTTAAAAATAGCCCATACTCTTCTGAAGTCTACTTTAAGGATCTATCATAAAAGCTGTTAGTCAGTAAGCACGCTAGGAACCAGAATTACTGAGACCTGTAGCCCATTGATTACATTAAAAATGTTCTCTGTCATCAAACTAAACCCAAGGACGAGCAGTAAAGCCAGGGATGTTTAACTGCAAAACTGCATTCTGGCTTCTGGTTTTCAAGTATTTGCCTAGTTGAAAACCAAGTCAAAGCTTTATTATTACTGTTATTTATAATAATAATAATAATAATTATTATTATTATTATTTAAAAATAGACACAATTTAACACATTTTCTTCACCAGTTTTCAATTCAGAAGGCAATTTTTGATCAGCTAGTACTGCACAGAAACAGCACTAGCACTGGAAGCCCCAACAGCCTCTTAGCTGGAGTGGTCCTGGTAATAACAAATGCTATCATTGTCCTTCCCCAGCAATCCAAGTGCAGAAGGCTGAGACTGAGACAGAAACAGAGAGCACTCTGTTGAGCTGAGGTGAAGCAATGATATCTATGGGAGTAATTATCACAGAGAAAAACTGGAAAAATATGATTACAGCAAATTGTAACTCTCAGATATGTTCTTCGTTGTAAGAAATAGCTCAGCTGAGACCAAACCAATATGAACAACAGACTGGGAAGTGTCAGACACTGATTCTCTGGAGGCTGATACCATCAGACCCTCTGAGCAGAACATGATCCAGCTTTAGCATATCAGGGAGCTTGGTGTCAGCAGCCTGTGCTTCTTCCCAGGCATTCTACTCACTTCAAAACAACCTAACAAAATGTGAGCTGCAGGACTCCCCACTGGAAAAGCTGACCTGGAGATGCTGTCCCTAATGACCACCAGTAGGAGAGGCAAGTGTCTCTCAGAGTCAGTCAGTTCTCCTGCAGTCTTCCGTCAGCAGCTGTAGCTGTTCAGTGCTGCTGGGCAGCTCACACTGAGCTGGTTTCAAAGAGCGGCTGTGCAGATGCAGTAGGGTGACTGCACAACACTCATCTCTGCGCTGGCACTGCCTTCCCATTGGACACCTCTCTTGGCTTCAGCTGCTCTGTTTGACAAATGCATGATGCCTTTGGAGGGCTTCTGCCATGAGTGCAGCCATGGATTCACCTTGGCCTGTGAGGACCGAGGAAGTACCCTGGTGATGCGTTCTGCTGAAGGAACCACAACACAAAGCAGAGCATGAGGCCAAAATCTGTAACAGGGCGTTGAGTTTTTAAGACCTTAAGGAAAACTAACTATAAACTCTGCAAGCTTGGAGAGTTGTGTCAAAGGAGAAGATACAGCTAAGAAAAGCAACTGTCAGAAGTCATGACTGCTCTGGCAGCATTTCTGTGTGCCCTGTATGCAGAAGGGTCTGAACACAGATTGTGCAGACAGGTTTTGTGCCTTCGTATTCATGTGTTGTCTTGGCTTAATGCAAGTCAGCTGCACTAGGGTAAATGTTGTTTTGCCAAGTCAATTATATTTGGGGAGGGATTTTCACCACACTCCCATGACAGAATATTTACATGTTTCATGCAGCTAGTATCTTGCAACTGATGTTTAGAAATTTTTAGACGCAATAATCAATATTGTGCAAAAACCAAAATATCACTTAATAAAGTAGTCAACTGTTTTCACTTAAATTATGTACCTACGCCATGGATCAGATGCATCAAAGAAGTTCTTCAGGTGTCTTGAGAGCTCTGTAGGTGTTATTGCTGCTCTCAAACAGTCTGTGAGAAGAATTATAAATGGTATTTACCTTTTAATTAAACAAAACATCTTGCAAATTAAAGACATGCTCTTGCACATCAAAATTTAGTTAGCATTCACTTTTATTGTGCATCCTATGGCTCTCTAACAGACTATTGAGTCCACAGCCATCTGAACACACATTGCTGGTTCCATATTCCCCTACATTTTTGGCATTATGTGTTAGATTTTATCATATCTAAAGGGGGGAAGAATCTGTAACTGACTGCTAATACTTAATCAGATCTCCTGCTTAATATTCTTTTTGCTTGCAAAACCCCTCAAAATATATTGGTGTGTCCTGACAATGGCAGAAGAGCAGTTTTGGACACCTGTGTGACATACGTCTTACTATCTTATGTAGAAAATTTGACAGTGAATGACAGAACACCTTAGAGGAATATAAGAAGATGATAAAGGCAACAGCTTTCACATGAACACAGAGTCTAGTTCCTAAGAGTTACAAGCTTTTTTTACATGCATCCTTGTTATTTGACATTTATAATTCACTGTGGTGCTGAATCTCTGTCATTCTCTCACCGTCAGGTTTTCTACACATGGTTGTATGTCCTTTCTAATTAGTATATCTATTTGAACATTTAATCTCATCTTTCCACTTTATTATGCAATTGCATTTTGGTCTGTTATGTACCAATAAATGCTTTTGATATAACATATATAGTTCTATGTTGCTTCTCTCTCTAAACAGGTGCTTGTATCTTTTCTTTTTCTGGTTGTAAACCCATTTTACCCTAAAAATGATATTAATTCACAATTGATTTTAATAATAGGTAAAACTAAATTTCCTGCAGAGGAACATTAACCCTTGAGATTATATTTTTTTATACATACACATACTGTACATATTTTATTGTGTATAGCATCTTCCTCATAGGGAACACCTAAGACCTTTTCAGAGGCATTGATGCCTTTGCAACACTGATAAACATTAGACCTATTTTATTCTTGGAGAAACAGTACAGAATTATTGCAGAACTTGCTCAAGGTAAGCAAAGAAAACAGTGAGACAGCTGCAGACAGAGCAAGCCTCAAGGTCTCAGCACCTGCCCCAAAGCCCAGTGGAAAACACAATCAATATGAAAAGCAGGTTGCATCTGCAGACCCCAGTTCCAGGGCTGACCTTTCACCGCTCGCTCATCATTTTGCATTAGCAACTTGGGTGATGCTGTGCCATCACTTGATATTCCTGTTTATTAATTAACTTAGTTGAGATTTAGTTCAATTGAAATGAAAGCTTTTAAGTGTAATGTTGAAACGGACAGTGAAGGACACACCCTTTAGTAATAGTCATAGTGATACTGAAGTGAAATAAAGGATTTATTTTCATGTTTTAAATACTATGGCTTTGTATTTGAAGTAGGAAATATTCAAGTGGTTGTACTGCTTAAAGCACAGAATAAAAGAGAATAAAGTGGCTGCTATTTGTGTAGTAGAATCAAAACTTCCCTTCTACTTGTGTTTAATAAAATATCTTAGGGGAAAATTCAAAGCAAAC